AAATGGCATTTTTTTTTTTTAATTACATATAATGGGTAAATAAAAAAGATATTTTTTGTGTGTGCTTGTAAATATATACAAAAATAAAATGTATGTAGTGGAATTTGCTTTTATACCATTTTGTATTTATTTAAATTTGTATAATTCCAACAGTTTCGGTGTTCTTTTTTTTCCTGTGTTTAAGCTAAAGCATTTTTTTCAAGCTTAACAAATTTGTGTGTTATAGTTTTAGACAATCAACTATTAAAGTATATAAACAATAAAGCAAACAAAAAAAGGAAGAAATCAAAGAACTAATGACAAGTAAATGGCGTAACTTTTCTGTGAATAAATTTAACTAATGAAACCCTAAAAAAGATTAATGCATATTTAAATTTAATATGTGCATGGCAAGAGGAGAACTAAGGCAAAATTCATTTCAAAACGAAAACCATTTTTGTAAATTGTTTCACTTGGGAAAATCGACACGCTAAAGCAAAAACCAAATAAATAGAGAGATAAATTAAACACATTTTACTGAATAATGAAAAAACTAAACACAACACAGCACACGCAAAGGAGTTTGGAAGGAACACGATACACAAGAAGGACAAAATCGAATTAAAGTCAAATACATAGACGTGTATATGCTCTCATTGGTTGTGTTTTTAGGTTATAAACAAATAGGTTTGGCTCAGTGCGCGTGTGTGTGTGCCGCGTGTGTGTGTGTGGAGGAGAGACAGAGAACAACACATACAAACACACTCACCGCACGAACAAACAGACAGACAAACAATCGTTAATTCAATCAATCAATCAATCATTCAGTCAATCGTTGAGTCGGACCATCGACCGATCGGTATCGGTGAGTCAGATTCGTAATTGTACAGTTCATTTGCTCATTGATTCATTGAAATATTAATTAATAAATTAATAAATTAATTATATATTAAATTTAGCTATCGAAAAACCGCGCGAGAAATCCAGTTTAAGTGTAAATTATGCTAATAATGTCAAACATTTTGAATTTGCCTTTTTAAATGTGTTTTTTTTTTTTGCTTTCACAGTCTTTTAGGTTTCTAGCTAAATATTTAGTCTGCTTGATATACAAAAGAAAAAAAATAAGAAATTTGAAAAATTTAAACAAACCAAAAACAAATAGGTATAAATGAGAAGAAACCATGTAATTTAAATACTGCCACAAACAAGACGAAATGAAATGCAAAGAGTACATATAAAATATATACAATTATTGTATCTATACATGATACTCATAAATGATATACGAAGTAGTTAAGTGCAAACGAACATTTTTGAAGCGTCTCCACATCCAAGCACTCGACAGATCCGATGTGGAGCAAACACATACATACATTATATATACATGAAGATATATAATTAGGCGCAGCAAATCAACTACTCAAGTAAGCTAGGAACCTGCAGAAGGGTGCTCGAAGTTAACATTGTGGCTAAGTACTAACTAAATAGGAAAAAACGCAAGCAAAACAAAACCAATCTCTGTATATAATAAAACTATCCAAAACCAATACACACACTGCAAATGAAAACACAGATGCAATATAGCCACAGTTAAAGCATTTCATTCTTGTATACATACATACATACATACATACATACATACTCGTATATATGTAGATAAAAATATCGGTGATCCATCATCGATCGATCATTCAGCAAGCAACAAGAATTTATTTCCAGTACAATTCATTTTCCGATTACAGTTAAAGCAGACAACGAAATTGTGTACACACAAATTGTTAGTGGAAAAACTTAGATAAAGCACAGGGAAAGCCCTTGGCGAAAATAAACATGGAAACTAAAAATAGTTGGTGGATTTAATTACCCATTGGTTCTGCCAAAAGTTGCTCAAGAGATTTCCTCGACGAGTGCATCGCCAAGGGCATTCGTTCGAACCACAAACGTGTTTCATTTTAGCCAGAAACAATTTTTAAGGCCACACACACTTAGCACTAAACAGTAATCATAATTAGTTAAACAAGAAATAGTTATTATACGAAATATATTAAAGCAAGCAAATGAGAAACAAAACACAACAAAACAAAACAAAAACTTATGGTGTAATAAAGAAATTGACGTATTTGATATATATGCGGCTTGACCCTGAGATTCAAAAAACATAAAATCGTATGTCTTCCAATCAAAGGTCGTCTTTTGTAGCAAACACAACAAGAATCAAAGTCTGCGTATTGCTAAAGAAAAAAACCCCAACAGTCAGAACAATTCAGAACAATTGGAAGCCGCTGTGGAGCTGGTAGATAATGCAGAAATGCGTATCAAAAGATTAAAATGAACACACAGACACACAAACACACAAACAATGAGCAGCATATAGAAACTGTACCACCCACTCGCACACTAACACGCTTACACAGTTACAGTTACAGATACAACACACAAATGCCACTGCAAATTCATTTAGCGCATAATATTTGCATACTTTTAGAGTTGGCAGCCAAATCGAAGCACACTCGTATAACACTTTAGGCAACATCCGACTGTCTCACTTTCACATTCTCCATGACACTCCACTCTTCAGTTCCCCCCAGCAACTAATCAAGTACCTGACAATAGATGAATTAAACCTTTCTAGAATTCTGCATCAGCTTCATAACTTCTCCTACTTAGAACCAAACACAACCGAAGCTCGTCTTGTACATACAAATGACAAAATGTTTCATCCGATTTGGCTTGCCCATTTTGCGTAAAGTAAAAACACAAACACATAAATTAATTATATTAAAAACGGTTTCAACAGCAGCAAACAAGAAAGCAAAAAAAAAAAACAAAACAACAAATTTCGACACACACACACACAGATACTATCAGACGCACACTCAAGTCCGAGCAGCAATGAAAATCTCATGTCCCTAACGTCAGCATGATTAATGACAGCAAATGCAATTAAACGAATTTGAAATGTTTTTTCCTGTATAAACGAACAGTGACACGACTTTTGTAAAATATTTCTGAACAGAAAAACACTCATAGGAATACGTACACCCTCCTACATACACATATTTGAGGACTTTTCATTCCAAGCATCCACTTTCAGCAGTAGAGTTTTTCGATGAATTTTCCAAAAAAAAAACTTCACAGTTTTGCAAGCAGCACCAGACACACCAGACACCACTTACCACACACACACACAACACCCACACTCACACATAGACCCTAAAATCAATGTACTCCAGTAGCTAATGTTTGTATTTATGCATCTGTGTGAATGGCATTTGCATGTGCGTGTGTGCGTGTGCGAACAGGAAACGAAAATCAAATGTATAAATTCATAAACTGTAAGCCACTCGAGTATATTAACGATAAACAACTATATACATATACGAGTACGAGTACGTATATATATACGGGTATTTATATAGATATAGATACTATACAATATATACACGGGTATGTATATTTTTTGTATTAACTGTTAGGTGCCGCTAGATGTAAGCGCTTCCGTTGCAACATTTTGTGCATTGTACATTTTACTTTCGATTCGTTCAAGTGCAAAAGAAAGGTAACAAAAAAACAAAACAAAACAAAAACAAAAAATACGAAAAATCAATTTTAGCATCAAGATTTTTAACTTAAAACAAAGCAAACAAAAAAATGGTAAATCTTAAAAGTCTTGCAACTCACTGGGGAAAACAACACCACAACAATTAAATGTAAAAGATACGAGCGAAAGTGCCCAAGGCGGCAGAAGGCATATGTAACTAACTAATATTTGCTCAGAAATAAAAGAAAAAGCCAAAAACCAAAAATATATGAATAATAAATATGCATACATATACGCAGTGAATGAAGCCGGTAAATGAAATATAGCATAGATATATACATAGATATGTGGAATCGACTTTTAGTTAGGCGTGCCGAGCGCTCACTAAAACTCTCTACACCAGGAATCAGTCTTAACTAAATTGAAAATTTAGTTAATGGAAACACATAACGTAAGTAGGCTAAGGTGCGAATGGAAGGAAGGGAAACGTATGTAAAATATTTTCAACTAAAACTAATACAAAAAAAACTAAACCAATGTTAGATATAAATTTAGATTAAGCCAACTTCGAACACTGCAGAAAATCCCTGCAAGACAACAGCAAACAGCAACAGCAAACCGAACCCGAAGTTAATGAAACATTTGCGCATCAGTATTTCAAATAAATGTGTCAAACAATTAAATTAAATCTAAAAAGTAAAACGTTGCATTTACATTTCACATAAACAAAGGAATACCTAACAATACATGCATAAATATGAATACGAGTATATACATACTACCTATACATATATATATATTAAATATATATTCAAAACTCTCTTGAACAACAACAAAAAAAAAACAACCAACATATTACACACACCCAAAGAAAACACACACGCAACTACAAACTACAATTACACACAGGCGCAGACACCAAGCAGAAAATTGAAAATTGAAAATTAAAATACTAAAAGAAAAACTTGATCAAAATTAACAAACAAACAAAATTTAACAACAAATTATTAACAAAAAATGCTAGAATAAAATATGTTAACACAAACAATTAAAAATAAAACAAAAAGAAGGGAAATGAAAAGAACGCATTCAAAACTTAAATGTAAGACACTAAATGAAAAACAAAAAACTATGCTAAATGCAAGAACAAAAGGAAATAATAGCAACAATTGCAAATGAAAAACACTAAAATTGACAACAATTTAAAAAACAAAAAACGACAACAAAACATAAAAAAGAAAACAATTAATATATAAATAAATGTTACGCGTTATTAAATAAAGAAGAATGAAATAATTTGTTTTAAAAAAATTCCAAACTGTCTTTTTAATGTGGTGATGTGCAATAGTAGGAGAAACTGAGTCAAGGTCTTGGGATATATTCCACCATATCCTGCCAGAAGATCAAACGTAGGCTAAATGGTAGAAATCGGTGCCTAATTGGATTAATAAATGAGTAAACTCAGGGCAAAATTCGCTTTTAGTAGAACCATTGATTTGATCAGTCGAAAGTAATGTTTTATTGTCTCAGCCAAATCGCGTTTATTCACATAAAATTAAAGGCACTCAGCTTGGTGGTAGTGGCGGCCATGTATTTGCCCAGCGCCAGGGCCAGCAGGGAGAATTGGCATTCCGGATAGATTTCGTCGCACTCCCTTGAAGCTCGCTTGGAGCGGCGGTAGATGCGATCGTACTGATGATGGGCCTGGGGCTCGTGGCCAGCCACTGGCGTTGGGGGCATGCTAAAGACGGTGCGGACGAGCTCCTGCAGCATGTTGCCCTTCTGTTCCTGGGGCAGCATGTACTTGGCACTCTCGCAGAGAGCTCTAGCCACACATGAGTGCCCATTAAAGCCCATGCTGAATGAAGAGTATGAGACCAAATGATATCCATGAAGTATACAGCATACTCACTTATTGAAGATGGACTTAACTTCGTCGTAGAAGGCACGTCGAGAGCGACGCCTGATAATATCCTTCGATAGGGTTGCGTTCAGGCCATGGGCATGCTGGATAACCCACTCACGATTGGGCAGATCGTAGGCGACGCCCCAGTTGACCGCCCAGCTGAGAAAGTCCACATCGGGATTGCCAATCATGCCGATCGTCATGCAAATGGCCGCCTGCACACACCCACAAAAGATTAGTAACCGTCGCAGATCCCTGACACCCACACACACACACACACTCACACCGATACCGATGACCCTTCCGGAAATGCCAGATAACGTTTGTGTCGACGCAGAACTTTGGCCTCCATCTGCGTGTCATTTGCATCTGTCAGAGCCAGTGATTGGGCCAGTGGCTGTGCCTGTGCCTCTGTCTGGGTCTGGGCCTCCACCCGACCAAATGCCAGGAGATATAATGCCAGCAGATTGAAGTGGTAAGTCGTCGAGAGCCTCATTTTGTCGGCAGCGCGTTCCGTTTGAAACTAAACTCATTGACCGCTTTAAATTGGTTTCGTGGTGCAGTGCTGCCAGTTATCGGCTTATTAGCTCAAGTACTATGTTGATAGACCTGATTAGCGGGTATCTGCCAACTCCTCGCACACAGGGGACTGCTCTTAACAGGTTTGGTTTTCCCTTCCGCACTGCCCTTCCGCTTACTGTCGTTCGCCTGTCAATACGGCCAACACTGATTGCAGTAGCATGTAAATTTTATGTCAACAGCGGGTAAAATTCTGTTGTTTTGTTTCCACTTCCAGTCCAATTGTCAGCACTGTAAAGTCAAAAACAAATAATACAAATTATGAAATATACAGCACGGAATCCAGAAATCCAGCAATGCGCGCATGAAGGCAACTGCATTTTCAGTTGGATCACTCAGTCACTGAATCACCTGCAACTACTCAAATTTATAATCAGATAAAAATCATTCAATAAGCGTTTATCTCTCTCTCTCTCTCTCTCTCTCTCTCTCTATATATATATATACTCGCTTAAACTAAATTTAACTTTATTCATACATGCTTTTGTATGTTTTTATGGGGAACCCATATTTAGTCCACTCTGCATTGTAGGGCACGAAAAATGGTCGAAAATAGTGTCAATAAAAATGTCACTTTGGGTATTTACTTAATTTCGATTCCACTTTTTGGCATGACACATAATAAAATACAATTTTTTTCGGTCACAAATGTGTGCCGTATTTTTATTTCCTTTCATTTTGATGCAGGAAAAATTACCCAAATTTATTTTGCCAATATGTGAGGAAATATCGATTTTAATACGCTTCCTTACAATCCATGAACTGGAGTCCTGATTCCGTATTCAATAAATTCATTTATATGTTTTCCTTATTTCGATTTTATTTAATCAGCATTTTTCTCCCGAAACGGTTCCGTAACGAGCAGCAAAAAACTTTGACGACAATGCGGCCCATACAGACTGGCGCATTCGTGAAGCGAGTGCCCGGTGGTGAAGGCCTCCCGATATTTCGGCTTATGGGCAATCTCCGGATGTACGTGGCGCAGCATTATGCGGAATATATCGTGGAAGAGCGTCAGCCCCGGGGGTGCCAGCAGAAGACGGGCCTCGCACAGCGTCCGCATGATGCAGTAATTCGGCTCGTAATTATACCTGCCAAAGGGCAAAGGAAATTCAGTTAGTGGGAGAGTGGAAAAGGGTTGCATATGGAGCATGGCGCTTACATGGTGGATATCAGAGTGACCATATCGAAGAGCATCCTGTGCGGACTGTGACTGTCATTCAGCACATTGGCTCCATTCCTCTGGAGTTCACGTCTGAGGCGTCGGGACATGGCCGATGGCCGGCAGTAGAAGGTGCCATACACGTCCTTGACCAGATGCGAAGCCGGGCAGCCGGCCTGCATTTGATGGGCAAAGGACTTGCGCCGGTTCTGTGTGGGAATGCCTTCCGGATAGGCAAAGTAGAAGGACTGTATGGGATCCGTCGGACTAAGGGGCACAACAACAGTTTGCGGTTGTAAAGCATATTCTGACGAAGGCGGGGGTGGTGGTGGCGGCGGAGGAGGAGGAGGCGGTGGCGGCGGTGGTGGTGCAGGTGCTGGTTTTACTTTTGGTTTACCCACACGACGGGGTATCCAATCCTCAACTGCCGCAGGTAGCTCGTAGATACTCGTGGCCTCACCCAAGAAAATCATGCCTCTGGGTATGGTCGACAGAATGGCCTTGGCACAGTTGGCTGTAATCTTTAAGCAAAACATAAATAAATTGTTATTTTTAAGGCAAAGCTAACTCATCTAACCGTTAGAGACGCGCCCAGTTCAAAGGTGAGCCAACGCTTCTGGCGGTGCAGGAAATGGGTCTTCTCGTGCATAAAGGTAACGCGACTGCTGGACGTGGCATTGGACCTCGACATTGACTCCGCGCAGACCAGAGCCAGCAGAAGGCTGGCGAGGATCAGTCTCAACCAATTTAGATTTTCCATAGCGAACCCAGCGATGCCCATAGAAGAACTAAATAGCCGAAGAGCCACCAGATCGACGCTAAACTCCAGAATGGAACAGCGGATCCATTTCCGTGGCTGTTCAATTTGGACGGGATCATGGCTTGACCGCAATGCAAGCCAATGTTTGGTCAAGACATTAGTCGCGGCCGAGCAGCGGAATGGGGTCAGCTGGCGAGATCTAATTTAATTAACAGCTTGGCATTTTTGATAGAACGATAAAACAAAGAGATACGAAAAAAAACAGCAGATGGCAGTCGAAATCAATGGCCAAAAACTTCAAATCAGTTGGAAAAATGTCTACAACTTGGCCGAAGCTACTGCTCACAGCATTGCTCTTGGGCCAATGCCAAAGTCAGTCCAAGAACGATGCTCTGCATGTGTTTGCCCCGCTGCCGCTTTCACCAACAAGTCACGAAGCCAGCAAAGTCAACAATGTCACGCTGACTCCGCCAGGACCCATCACCCAAGGACGGGAGCTGGAACAGCAGCTAGAGCTGGAGCTGGAGCTGCAGCTGGCACAGGAAGACCCACTGACACCACATGCTGGTTCATTGTCGCAGCGCAAACTCTCGAGAGGCAAACGCTTTGTGGCCTTTCCCGTGGGTTCATCGGCTTCGGTGAGTCAACGTCAACGAACCCCAAAAACCTTTGCAGTTTGGACATTAAATCAAATATGTATTTGTGACAACATTAAGGCTGCTGTCTGTCTGACCACCGGTGTTATCGGCAACCCCAACTTGCTGTATCTCAGTTTGGGCATCAATTGGGGCGTTGCCTGGGACCTGCCCAATGTCACATGGGTACTGCAGAATGCCCATGGCTGGACCACAAAGAAATCGGCCCAAGCGCAAATCAAACGCAGACATCGACGTGAGCTCTACAGTCGACTGGAGACAATGATAGACAGGTAAGTGAGTGTGCGGGTCAGCAATTCTGCTCATACATGAGGTTTCAGGGCACAAAATTATCTCAAGTTTTTGTGTGTGTGTGTGTGAAAATGATCACCAAATTGTGTTTGCAGATTTTGTATTTGAATTGTTTTGGCATAGATCTTTGGGTGAGTTAATATTTGGATAAAGCAAAATAGTTATATAAAAAATATTTAAAGCTGTTAAAGCTATTTACCCAGTCCTATATGGCTATTCATTCAATCATTGAATAAATACGTATATAATTAAAAAAGCTAGCATTATTTGTTAGCCAGAATATGTAACATCATTCGATTTTTTGAGCATAGAAATCATTAGCCAAAGTTATTTTACTGTCGGATATTTCCGAATCGAACCGACATATACGGACAAGTGTACATAGAATATATAAGTGTGTAAATCATATGTGTGCACTTTACATGCTTCAAGTGGCAGACCCGTACCACCCCCCTCTTATATTCCACTCAGCGAGTGTGGGGCGGTGCTGTGTCTGTGCCAAAATCAGCCAAGCCACTTGGCTTATCACGCACAGTGCGACCAAGAAAACTTCGCACCCGAAGTGGTCGTTGTCCCTACCCGCCTGCTGTCCTGCTCACGCCCTCTACTGCTAGAGAGAGGGGGCTGCGTGCTCTTGGCATAATAATAAAATGTTGGTATTTTATATTAGCATTTAAATTGGCTTTTTGTATGCTTCGGAAATAGTTTAATATCCGTAGGGGTTGAGACTATCAGAGTCAGAGTCTGTCTTCCTGCGGTTATTTTGGGGCAACTTTAACTCGAAAAATGCATAACAAATTAGGCCATAATTGGGGCGAGGAGAGGAGAGGAGCGGGAGGCTATATTTTGGGCCATGTTAAACTATCTGCAATCTGTAAAATGTCTTATCAAGAAGCGGCACGGCACACCCATTCGCCCGTTCGCCCGCACAAACCGCACAACCGCTCACAGATACACAGATACTCAGATACAGAGTCAGAGACAGTGACAGTGACAGGCATTGTCATGGTAATCAAAGGACTTGTGCCCTGTTCGAATTTAAGCGTCAATTTCAGAGCCCTGCTAAGCTTCAAGTGGTCGTCAAAAAGTTACCATATTTGCCTTTTACCCCCCAAACATTGTCCCATCGTCATTCGCATCTTCATACGTATACGCATCCTCATCCATATTCTCATCCGCATTCACATCCGGCTTTGGTTTTGACCTTAACACGGCACCCATCGCCTTGATTCACGTGTCGAGGATTTCGTATTTGGGATTTCGGATTTCGGTGTCTTGTGTTCGTCTTGTGTTTCATGATTGTTTTCCCTCGATTGGTTTCGCTTTTCGATTGTCTGCTTTGCTTAGCGTCCCACAATTGATGCCCTGCTCCGTGGTCCGTGGCCCCTGCCCCACTGCGAATTTTACCCACTGACTTTTGGCTCTTTCCCTCTGCTTTGCGAGCGCTTTTCCCTCTAATGGGTCAGCTAAGCGGGGCCTGGCCTCAATTGCCTCTATCCGATGTGTATATACATACACATATGAGTGGGTGGGGTGTGTGTGTGTGGGATATGTGTATTGGATGTATGCCCTATGGGGTTAATGAAGTTGTTTGTTTGTTTGTTTATGCGCCTGCCTGCCGCCCCAGCCCAGCCCAGCCCAGCCCAGCACGGCATCTCACGACCACAACATTGAAGTTGACAGTCGCACAGCCGCAATGCCACAACTCGCTGGGGAAGGGTGCAAAAGTTTGTCCAGGCTATAAATGGCATCTCCTTAGGAAATTAAACAGCATACTTATGCTATCACACACACACACACACACACACACACACACATACATACCTAAACTTATGCATACATGCACTGAGAAATGAATATGACAATGAAAACCAAAATATCCGCAGGAATTCCATAAAACAAAACGAATAAAAATCATACAAATACAAATGAAATTTCCAATCACTCTATAAACATATGCCCCTTAAACTAAGCTTATATTCCTGCCTGAAGATCTGTAATTACTTTTGTGAGCAATATATTTACATTTAAAATAAAATAAAAGTATTGCCTCGTTTGCAGCTTGGAAATCCAAGCCAGCAAGTCGAGTTTCTCAGTGCATAAGCCAATCCAGTTTATTATGAAGCAATGGCTTATACTTATATGGAATGTTGGCAACTCAGTTAGCAAATATGAAACGCCATTGCAAGCAACTCAATTCCCTGCCACGGCCATCGATCTTTGTCATCGCATCGCGCCGTACACAGGCAGTTCGACCTTTTGCATGGCATCGACAGGTGCAGGCAATTCAATTAAGGTGCTGCACATGCCTGGGCCTGGGCGTGGGTTTGGGTTTGGGCTTGCGTTTGGGGGCCTTCCTGTCGCCAGCCCAAACACACAACAGCAGGAAGGCCTTCGCACCCGCTCTGTGTGTCGGTGTCTGTGTTTATTGTAAACGTGACTGCTGCAAGTGTCTGCAAGAGCGAGCATTCTAAACGTTAACTGACAATTGACACATTTGCACTTTGCCAATTTTACTTCCACTGCCAGGGCGCAGCTTCTCCTTGTCTCTGTCTCTGTCGCTGTCTCCGTCTCTCTGTCCATGTCTGTCTCTGGCTTGAGTGCAGTTTTCAGTCGCTTTTTGAGCTGCAAGGAAAACGGCACGTGCTACGTAGCTTTGTCATGATTTACGCGCACTCCGCATTGTTTAATTATCGTTTAATTGTTGCAAAGTTTTTGATTTACGATTTAATTGCAACGACAAATGCAACGCCCTCCACAATTGCTCTGGGTCCATGGCCGGCTCCTACGCTGACTCCTGCCAATGTCACCCATGATTTATGGCCGCCGCCAACATTGATGACTATGATGGAACGTGCAGCAGACACGGCAGACAACCCGACTCCATCCAGCAGCAACAGCAGCAGCAACAGCAGCAGCCCATCCTCTCAGCTGTTGCAGCACCAACGCTGGCGGCGAGCACTCAGTCGTCCGAAGCGTTATCTCAGCTTTCCCGAGGGCTCCTCCTTTTCCGTATGTGCCATTCCCATCTCTCCATCCATATGCACATACATGCATGTACATGCATCCACCAACAACAGTTTGTTACTTTGTTCCCCCTGGTCAGGTTGCTGTCTGCTTCACGGTGGGCCTCATCGGTAATCCCTACTATGCATACAACAGTTTCGGCATCAACTGGGGCGTGGCCTACGATTTGCCCAACACCACATGGGTGTTGCAAAATTTGCATGGCTTCGCCACGCATCCCGTGTCACCGGCTGTCCTGAGACGACGCTCCCGTAGCATCATCTATCAGAAGATTGAGACAATTGTGGATAAGTAAGGGCGAAACCGTATACTTTTTCTGTATATTTTTTTACCTCGCTGTGCACCTTTACTTTCTTCCCTGTTTAATCTTTAAGCTATAGCTAATTGATATTTTTAACATTTTCACATATTACAGCATGGGCTACAATGGCCGTGATTGCGTCTTGCGTACCCTCTGCGAGAGCCGTCAGTACTTTCAGCGCACAAAGCTGAACATGGTCGGCGAGATGCTGCGCACGATATTCAGGTAAAATAAACCCCAAAAATTAAATCCGATTCAACTAAATTAAATTCGTTTTTGTAGCTTACCGAAGCAGAGAATATTCACACGGGAACTGCATGAGAACTCGGATATTGTGCACTATGATAAGGCATATCGGCAGGCCCATAACGATGACTGCGCCGCCCAGTACGACTGTCACTTTTCGCTACTGGAATTGGCCTTTGGCAAATACACAACGCCACCGAAAAATTATTATGCCCAATAAATTGTCCGATACTTAAAAATGTTGCCCATCAAATTATTCTTAAGTTTCCACTCCGCCCGGCCTCTGTCTGGGAGTGGGCACTGGAGCACTTGTTGAGCCCTGTTAAAAAATGGCACTTCATATATCTTTTTCTCAGCTGCAGCTTGGCTTCACCTGCCCATCCTCCCATCTCCATTGTCACAGCTGCTTCTTTCTGCTGCTGCCGCCGCCCCGGGGAATGGAATTGATGTTGTCTGTGCGGCGTCTCTTCGGCTGACTGATGTGTGTGTCAGTTGTGTTGGCACCTCCTGCTCCCCATCATTATCATGCCGGCTCCTGACGGACTTTAATTGAAAAGAAATAAAAATACGTTTGGCAAACTTTGTTTGGCTTTTTCCTTGCCGAGGAGCTGCCAAAAGTTTTATTCAATCAACAGACTTGAAAGATTTCTCAACATTGCTGTGCTCGAGTGTGGGTGTGGGGTAACATTTTAACGACTATTGCCCAAGGACTGCAGCATTTTGTGGCTTTCGGAAATATGGCTACGCATTAATCGCCCAATAGACGAAATCCGAGTCTGAGGGATTGCATTTTAATGATGATGCTGCTGCTGCTGTTGCTGTTGCTGTTGCTCTATGAAAAATGAGTTTAGAGATGTCTGAAATAGGAGAGAAATAGAATTTAGTCAATAAAAATAAAATTTAGGAATATAACGATTTTTATTGCATTCTGCTGGTCAGCTATTAGAATATTTGGCTGATTAATCTGTGTTAATTTGGTGCGTAAAATTAGTAAACCCCATAAGGAAATTATTAATATTTTGCTTGAATTATATGGAATAAAATAACTAAAGACCAGAAACCAACATTAGCGGGTAATCAGGGTAATCATGTTCCATGTGCAGTTTAAATCTGCAAATTTATTCACCACATAAAATATAAAAGAAGCAAAAAGGCACCAGCTTCAAGTCTAAGTGGGATGTACTACAAAGAGTTCACACCTTTTTTTTTTTCTATCATCTACAGCCCTCAGCGCTGCTTTGGCCCCATTTAAGCTGGTAAACGGGGAAAATTGTGGACGTCAACAAGCGTCAGCAACAGCAGCAGCAGCATCGCCAGGAAAGATGGATAAAAAAAGTGTTAACAAGTAAATGTCATGTCCAGCACTAGAATTCCAAATCAGAACAAAACAGTAGGAGTGTGGAGGGTGCAGACATAAATGGAGAAGACACGAGATGTCACCACGGTAGCCACATGGAGCAATAAATAAATAAGCAACGCCACCAATAAACACAAAGAATACTTCACGTTCTTTCTTCGTTTGTTTGTTTGAATGGTCTCCCCAGCCAACTGGCTGCTGATTCCCATTCTGGTTTTTGTATTTTTGTCGAACAGATTAAATATATCGGAGCTTTTATCAGTAGCCTGGAGTAACTGAACTGAAGCGGGTCTCGAAGTAGAAATGTGAGCAGCGATTAAATTGAAATAAAAGCCAAAGTGAAGAAGATATTTCACAGAAATTCGACCAGCCATCGATAGTATTAATTAGTGCTACAGAGCAGCCCAATCAAATCTATATCCATGACGCATCTGTCAGCATGGTCTGCCGCAACAGCAGCAGCAACAGTGCTGATGCTGCAGCTCGTAGTGCCCATCCTTCTACAGTTTTCAACCTGCTCCGCTGTCAGTCACAATGTTGACAATTTTGATGGGCTTGCTGAAGCCTCCTCCCTGACCAGGTCCAACCCCAGCACCCACAACGAGAACACCTTTGACATGCATTATGACAACTCGCAACCCGACTCCAGTTCCAGTGCCAGTGCCAGCCTGCTGCTGCCGACCAACAATGAGACGAGGATACTGCGACGTGGCAAGCGATATCTCCAGTTCAGCAAGGGATCCCGTATGTCGGTGCGTTTGGTTCTTCACTCTGTGAACAGGAATCCCACTTTTAATTGGCCCCCCAATCATACGAGTTGCCTTCTTTGTTGTATGCTTTGCAGTGGCGCACCAATGGCAAGAACACTCTGCTCACAATCAATACGCTGTACGCCTATGGCTATGGCTTCCGCACCAATTATCCCTTTCCGTCAATCGAGGACCAAAAGAAGGACAATGCCGTCTTCTTGCGCCTCTTCAAGCGGGATTTATTCTCGAAACTAGAGACAGCTCTGGATGGGTAAGTTCTTTTGGTCAGTTAGTTGGTTAGTTGATTCGTTGTAATTCGTTTCGTTCCCCTCTTCAGACATGGCTTTGATGGTCGGGCCTGTATGCTGAAATCCTTCTGCACGGCTGTGCTGGATGTGGACAAGTCGGAGCAGAAGAGCGGCATGCTCTTCAAGCTTCTCAAATTGATATTCAGGTGAGTGCAAGAGAGGGAGACAGAGAGCGAGAGAGAGAGTGTTCAGCCAAAGCCCTTCCTATTAGCACCTTCGTGATAACTACTGGCTGAGGGGCAGACAGTTCCCTTTTTAGTTCTTGGGCTCTCAGGTTCCCCACGTTAGTTCAGTTCTTACATCGGTTACAATGTGCACGCTGCGGCTGAGTCTACTTGTCACCTTTCTCTGCCTTGCCGCGGGACTGGAACATAATGCTACCATAGCACACAGTCGTGCCAAGCGATATCTGGATATCATAGAAACCACACGCATATTTGTGGGTAACAATTGAACAGGCAAATCGCCAGTTGCTTATACAGAAATCCCCTTTCCCCTTTTTAAAGTTTCGCGTGAATGCCAAGAACAATGTGATCGCCTCGCCCACTGTGTGGGCGCATGGCTATGGCTTTCGTGCCAATACCCCGGTGCTGGTTAAATACGAGAATCGACCCTTCAGAAGGGACACCTACGAGCTGCTCCACGAGCTAATCGATCGAAGTGGCTTCGATGGGCGGGCGTGTGTACTGAAGGCATATTGCACCGCTCTGGCCGGGGATCATGGTCAGGGATTTCTCTTTAAGCTTTTAAAATATGTCTTTACGTAAGTCGCAGACTTCTTCTGATTATAAATAACTATTTTCTACACCAATCTACACCAAATACCATTTCAGCCTGGACGAACACGAAAAGCGTCATATGCCGCATCTGCGCGAGGAGAACTGCGAACAAATCATGCATAGCCATTGCCCACTGAGCTTTGACAGCATTTCCCCCTACACGGACGATGTTTGAGTCATACATACATACATACTATACATACTCGTATATGCATTTGTGTTTGTTTGCCTTTGCTATGAAAAATAAACAACAACTGAGATTGATTTGCCTGTGAAAATATAAATATATAAACACACGTGACTGACTCAAAACCTACAATAACAAACATTCCACAGTGCTTTAAGGACATGTCAGAGAAGTACACAAATTCTAATTAACTCTTTTTGTGTATCAGGCAGAAGAATGCTGGCTCAAGCCATATCTGAGTCTCTGTTGTGGGTGTCTCCGGCAAAGCGTGGCCATTGAACAACTTTCGAGGGGTATTCCTTAGCTCTACTCTATGCATTTTTTGCAGCTGTTGGTGCTCCCCCCCTACTGGGATGGCACGTGGCTGCTGATGATATTTATTCGCTCTTGTTGCCATTTGTAATTTATAACAATTAACTTATGTGCTATTTGCAGGTTTTGGTGCGTGTTTCGAGTGTTTTCCTTACCCTATTTTTTTTTTCATACGAGCGATGCAATCAGCAACATGCATTTAATTGGCATTTTTTTTAAACAGCTGAAAGTGAGCAGCAAGAAAAAACGGCGGATAAGTGCAAAATTATAGCATATACTCGTATGTACATACATATATAGTACGTACGTATTCCGTGTCCATTGTTGACCTCATTGCATGACAAAAGTTCCTGCTGCTGATGCTGTGGCATCCACTGATGCATCCACGCTCTGCCTTTGATACTGCCCCAGTCTCGATGTTGCCTCTGATGTTGCAGTTGCAGCTGTTTAATGTCACCAGCATGAAAACGGCGAGTGGTGTTAAAATGTTTGCGGGCGCCTTTGATGCACTTGTCACGCCCTCATGGCCACAGAGAGACCAGAAACCTGTCGCCCGCCGTGGCAGCATTAAAAATTAACTTTAATTAAGTTGAAAAACATAAATTACATGCACGCATACAAGGGCATTAAAATGCACAAAACCCACACTCGCACAGAGGCACACACACACACACACACACGCAGTCCTGTAAGTGCAATTTTCTGATGGTGCTGTTATTGCGGCTGCTGCTGCTGCTACCTCAAGAGCTTCTCAAGTTTGTTGCACACAAGGGGCAGAAAGGGAGAGAAGTAGCATGCAGAAGGAGAAGCAGAAATTAGAAAGAGACGAGAGACGAGTTAGAGGCAGGCAGAGTTGGAGCGAGAGAGAGGGGCGAGAGGTAAACTACATCTTAGGCGATGTCCGCAAAACTTTAAGCGTTTCCCCACAACTTTGTCACCCACACACGCACACGCATGGATGCACGCACATATACTCAGGTGTATACAATAAAAAATACCAATTCATTTATATACATATATATATACATATAGTCCCAACCTTAATCAAGTATTAATCATGTGGCCGTGCGTTGAATTGTGTGCTGCAGTGAAAGAGGTCAGCTCCATCCCACATCCCACACAGCTCCACTGACCTGACCCAATCCTTCGCCATTTTCCATCGCCCACTCATTACACATTACCTTCACCTTCTTTGCAGAAGGTACTATTATAGGTCAAAGGCTATGTTGTGCTCGAGCAGAACGGAGAGCAGAGTTTTGGCATGCAGAGTAATTTATCCACGAAAATAAAGTTCTAGACTATTGATCGCCATACCCTATATGTATACATATACCAGCGTCTAAGCTGATGCTGCGTTTCAATCAAAACAAATCAAATATTTAAATATATTTATTATAATGGCATTTTTAAGGAGTATTTTCATATCGAGGCACTCCACCATAGCATTCCAACTTGTTACATTTGCTGACACCGCAAACTTAAATTTCAGTTTGTTGTTGTTGATGTTGATGCTGTTCTGTTGCTGGTTTCTGTTTAATTTTCTCATTTGGTGATGTTTGCATTTTTCTCCTTCTCGTTTTTTTTGGTTTTTGCCCGTGTGTGCAATTATAATTAATTTTAAAATACCCTCGAAGTGTGGAAAATGTTCATTGCAAGTGACACTTAACAGTAGGAAAGGCAAAAAGTGTAAATGAATATATTCGTGCGCCTGTGACTTTAACTAATTGAACTCTTGACCAACATAGCAGTGAAATTATAATGAAAATGCGAAAAATGGAATAACCAAATAACTTGTTCAACATTTGCGAAAATTCCAATACCATGTCGGTTCGTTATAAATTCATTTGTCATTTCCCCCCCCACCCACCAAATTGTTTGCAAAAATCCTCTGAAAAAATATATAAATTGAAATATAAATTTTGCAACCGATTTTAAATTTAATTTGCACAAATAGAAAAAAAAAAAAAGAGCATGTAGAACCAGACAAACCGCTGAACACCACATTTCCACAATTTATTTGTAAGTCTGCTGAAAAGAAGATCTGCAGGTTAGTGGATCGAACATAATATTATAAATATGTTTATTCAAATATTTCTGATAAATAAAACAACTATCTCCAGTTGCTATCTCTACATAATATTAAAATATCACATTAACATAACCAATACGGAATTTAAAATCAACAATTACCCTTATTTGCTCTGAAACGATTTGTTCTCCAGATTGCCTTTATATTGTGTATTTTAATTTCATATTATTAATTTTTTACCTTTTTTTCCAGTTACTTAATTTATGCAAATCTCCTCAATTAGGTGTCGAAAAAAAAAGCAAAGAATGTCTAAAAGTGTTTCAGTGTTTTCTAAATAGTTAATTAATACAAACCCAATGTCAATGTGGCAAGGACGACTAATATATGCACAATTAAATACTTTAATTGTCAGCTGAATATGAAATTAAACACTCACATTTATTTGGCTCAGCAATCGCAGAAATAATGTGAGCCAAATCAATTGGCCCAGAAATACCAAAATTATTATCACCTCCCCCAATGCCTCCCCACCCCTAAAAGGGTTTCTAAAAGATATTTAGCCAGGGGCGTGGGGGGGCAGATATCTGTGTGGTTGGCCTACAAATAATATACACGAGATTAGCGCGACCTGACGCACACCTAGAATTATTTATTGGCCGTCAAGGAGCAACACAAAATGCGCACCTGCCTCATTATAGATGCGTAAAGGGCCAATCGGAGGGGGCCAAAGAACGGCACCCAGACCGCACAGCTCATTCTGGTTGCATTTCGATTTCGCCCACAGGCCACATTCCATTCATTCGCTCATTCATTAATCGTTGTCTGGTGGCGGACTGACTGACTGGCATGCAAATTGATTTGATGCGTTGTCAATTAAAATGTGCAATTAATTTCATTTGGTTTGCCTCACATTATCGAATAGGTAATTGGATAGGGCCGATGTGTATGACAGGCCTTCTACACAGATACAGAGATGCATGCAGGGATGCACGGGAGGGAATATGGAACCTGACAGCGGCTGCTAATGAGCTCAGTTAGCCAATTCAGTTTGTGGCCATGAATGTGGCACTCTCTGTGAGTGTGTGTGTGTGTGTGTGTGTGTGTGTGTGTGTGTGTGCATCTCTCTGTATGTGTGTGTGTCTAAATTAAACCGTCTATGATATGGCAGAGAGCATAGCGTATACGCAATTAGTTAGTCAAACGCTGATTGCCATACTCTCTACACAGCGGTACACACGAATAGAGCCAGCTTACATGATAGTCTTCTGGAGGTCCCTAACTATATTCCTTTAAAACAAAGTCTGATTATATTACAGCTAATACAAATGGCTATATGTTACAGTAAAAGCAGATCAATGGCTTAAACATAGTTTAGTTTTTTTTTTTTAGTTTGACGACTTTGCTAAGAATTATTCCCCGTTTTACAGACGGTTGCTGCTAAAATCTTTAATCACTTTTTTCCTGAATTCAAAATTTATTACTCAGCCAGATCTAATCATATGGCTTGCATGCTGTAAACCAATATGCCTACACTTAATTTTAAAATGCCAAGACTCTCGGCATCAGCGCTTCGTTCATCTTCACTTTGCCTCTAAATTAGTTCAAGGATTAGTGCAATAAAACTAACGGGCCACGGATTTGCGCAGCCCTTTTGTACGCTTAGGGGCGGTTGGGGGAACCCGAAAGAGAGAGAGAGAGAGAGAGATAGAGAGAGCCTGGGGAGAGGAGGAACACCGAGCGTACCGAAGAAGGCATGTCACAATTTCCCAATTAGCTACTCATTGAGATAAATTTCTTATGCAAATGATGACAAGGCCAAGTAAGGCATTTGGGGAAGCCAGAGCCAGGGCCGTGACAGGCGCTGAAGTGACATTGGCATCCAAATACATTCATTCCCCATGCTGGTCGGGGAGTTTGGGACACGACCTGAACCACACCGAGCGCCCTGACAACCAGTGGCAGGAAGAACAACTACAGCAGCAGCGACGGACAGCGGCAGAGTGACATTGAGTGACTCGCGATGACGCCTATGGAGGCTGTAGATGCTGATTCCGACGACAAGACCGACAAGGAACAGCAGCAGCAGCAACAGCAGCCTTTGACTCACTCTCCCTCCCACTCTCTCTCTCGTTCTCTCTAATTGGCTGCTGACATTTTGACAATAACAACAAGAACAGCAGCGGAAAGGCGGCGTAAATTTAACATAATTAAAATACTGAAGCCAGGCAACAACATTTTTGGATATGCAATGAAAGACGCAAGAAGCAGCCCAGCTTTCTCACCGGAAGAATTGTCAGGGAAAATATTCTGCTAATTTCTTTGACTTATTAAAGCAGGGCGCTAATCATTTGCATCAACTAACCCATATTTCTAGACGTATTCAAAATTGGAGCAGTCTCATGACGAAATACAGTTACTGATCTGCGGTTCATTGAACGCAGCATCGCAGCTCACACCAAAGTGTGAAGAGAACTTTGGAGTCGCGGAGTCAGTGACTCCAAACGAGAACTGCTAATCGTATGATCATGACTCTGGGGATTGTTCTAACAAGTAATACAGTTCCAAGGGAATATGATTCCTGCAATCAGTTGTATGGAAACATGGTTTTATCTTTATTTTTGCATTTTCCCCAATTAAATATTATTTATATTATTATTAGTGTGAAACAAAATAAATATAAAAAATATCTATCTAAATTCTGGATTTTATAAGTGTTCTCTTTCGCTCAGTGTACTAGTGTACTCAGCTTCTTTTGTTGGATATCTGCTTGCGATCAAATTCACTTGAGAGCATCGCCTAGAACTTTGTTTGTGGGCGTATGCAAATTGCTCATACGCCATGTGGACCAGCCCACTAGCAGCAACGACACGAGCAGCAGAAATGGCGCTTATTAAAGTTGGACTTGTACTTCTGGGTGGGATTTTATTTTTTTTTATGTTTTAATTTTTTGGACTGTATGTGTGGGGGTGCAGGTGCAGGAGGTGCAGTGAGGCAAAGTTAAACTTTTGGATAACAAAAATTAAGCATTGTCGTTTGCGTTCCATGATAATTGCGAACAATAGAGGCAGGCAAAAGGAATGGCGGGAGAGAGTGGGGCAAAAACCATGTTAATGCTTCCGCATTTGCGTTCAGCTGCAACATTGCACCAATGCCCGGACATGTGTGTGTGTGTGTTTGTGTGTTTGTGTGTCTTGCGTCCTGTGTCCTGTATACATGCAGAAGTTTGTGTGTGTGCCAGCGACATTCACGCCTCGCTGCACTTTTTACATGCTGCATGTTGCCTGCGGGCATTAAGTGTGATTTTATGCGATTTGTACCAGGCAAACACCCGCTCTACCAACCCCCACAAACACCTACCACAGAGGCATGGCTAAGAGGGACAAAAACCACAGCAGCAGCAGCAGCAGCAGCAGCAGCAGCAGTAGCGGTGGCAATGCCAAACCCTTGCCTCCTCTGCACAGTTCTTTGCTAATTTACATTTGACAAATGTTTTGCATGCTACAAAATTTTTGCCACTGCTGCTGCGAAGACTGCAACGACTGCGACGACGACGACGAGGACTGCTGTTCGTTAGCCTGGCCCAATCTCCCCCCGTCTCCGGCCTTGCCCGTGGGTGTTTTGTTAGCTGCATTCGTTTTCATTTGGTTTCTCTGCTGACATTGTTTACAGTTCAACTTGGCTCTGGAAATTAGTAAAAATCTCACACGAGCACGCTCCTCCCGTACCCGTTACCCCCACAAACGTGGAGGGAAACAATAAAACTGCAAATAAAGCGAATCGAAAAATACAAGCGGAAACAGAGATACGAGTATGCAAGAACAAGTACAAGAGTAGCTGCAGAAATTTTAAATTGATCTAAAACAAAGGTACGAAACATCTACACTGAGCGAAAAACCTTCGGCCATTAAGAACAGACAACTAAGAAAATATACAACAAATTATATCATAACAAGGAGCTAAAGGCATTTGCCTTGCAATCGAAATTTCACGCTGAATAAAATATAACTTAGTTTAGATTTTTAAAATTAATTGCGAATCCCTTCATGACTTTTCTCAGATTTATACTCAATATTGATAGTAATCTTATATATATTATTTTTCAACTTTTTCTCCGTGTAAGCACATTCCTGTCATCAAGGCGATATCTTGGCTATATGGCGGAGACGGCTCCAGAGTTTATGGCTGCAATCGCTGTAGGTTCGCCGACAATCAGCGCCAGCACGTCCCCCATCCCTGGCAAGCAGATACTTCCCAGCCACATTATCCAAGGGAGGTCTGTGCAAAGCAATGCATTTGAATGTTAAGAGGGAACACACACACCTTTAATATAACCAAATGTAAGTACTTACACCAGCACCGCATTGAGTATCTCGCTGAAAAGATTGCTCTGCTGAAAGGGGCGCTGAGAGATCTCGCAGATGCTGCGCAGCAGGCACACGCCTCCATTTACGCCATCCAGTCTGTAGGAACATATTTTGGGAACCTGTAAATCCAATTTAACCGCAACTACTCACTGTTCCAGACCCGTTTCAATGACATCGTACAACCAAGTGCGTGTCTCATCGTGTCTAAGCTGCGTTTGCATATCCTGGCGGTACTCCCTGGGCACAGACTGAAAGGCTGAGGTATTCCAAAAACTCCACCAATATATGGGCACAGGTGCGGGCGTGAATTGGTTTTGATAGTTGACGAAACCCCAAACAGATAGCTGAGTGCTCGCCTGCGGTATGGGATACGCTATGCCACAGACAAACTGGGAGGTAGAGAGAGAGAACAATCAATCGATTGGCACACGTTTGATTAATGGGCCCACCTTGAGCACGCCCTGACCATTGAAGATGGCCACTCGCTTGGAGCGACTTAGCCTATGGTCGCCAGCTGGCGTGAAGAGGCTATTGGCGCCACTGCAGCCATCCACAGCCACGAGAAGCAACAGCAACAGCCTCAGCGGCAGCATCTGGGCGACGGGAACCTTCAGATTCAACTTCTTGGTGCCCGAGTGCATGGTCAACTAATTTTTGCAGCAACTTGCAACTTGTGGCAGCCATGGCAAATTACATTTTTTAGTTTGCTTAAGAAATTGACGGCAGAACAGCAGAATTGCAAGGCTAACAGAAGCGCTAAAGCTGCAGCTGCAGCTGCAGCCTTAAACTGGTAAACAGTGGATGGTGCAGCGCTTTCATCTCAAACCAACATGTGATGACAGTTGTTTTAGCATTGCCTGTAATGTTAAATGAGTTGGGTAGAGTAGACAGTATTTTCTACATACCTATGCTTAAATATCTGACGTTGTTTAGTTCCTAATTAAACTGGAATCGGCTTGAGCTTTATATTTATATTTATTCATCCACTAAAAATCGAACCATAATAATGAGTGTACGAATAAGTACATGTGTGTTTGATCAGGGTCAAATTACTGTGGCCTCGTGCTCACGAAATCTCTCTGTGAATGTGGAACCAAACGCATCACGCCCCCCCAGTTACAGCCCATCAGCAACGACAAAGACAACGCCCTGAATTCCACGCAGGCCAGAAACCAATCGCCTCTAGGCCAGGACTTATCCTCGGCTACAGTCGCTGCCTTTGTACTGAATGCGACACCTCCTGTTTTTCACCTGCGGCCAGCTCTCTCTCTCTCTCTCTCTTCCACTCTCTCTGCTGTTTCCCACTGAGGCTTGACTTTGACTGCCATCTGTGCTGCTGTTTGCTGGCCACAACAAGATCTGTGCCTGCAGCGTTGTTTCTGGCGGTCCTTTTGTTCTGGCTTGCAACAGTTAATTGATTGGTGTCACCTCAATTGTCCACACGAAAAAGGCGGAAAAGTCAGGTGCCACCAAACCGTTTTCCCCTAAGCTTTCACTGCAGCGAGTAATTGTGAAAAGTTGGGCCAACAAAACAGCGTTCGGTATACTGCTGGGAATGCAATGGGACAAGGAATATTTAATTTCCAAATATGATGGCTAATTTGTGCATTTTTTATATCTTAATAGGAAAGTACAGAGTAAATACTTTTTTTTTTTTTTCTACGGGAGAATATTTACTGCAGAAATGAAAGATGAATGTGTTTTACCTATCGATTGGCGGTAGTGATTAAAATATTTCCGGCATCATAGTTCATATAGTTCCTCCATTTATGCAGCACTAAATCAAGTGCTGGTATTCATTAACGATTATTTATTGCAATTTTTGTAGTTGCCAACAGGCGACCCGTCATCACAACTCAACACCAATCGGTGACTAAATATGGCACAATCTCTTCTTTTTTCGTTGCACAATTAGTCAACGATTTATGGATAAACGGAAGAGAAAATCGTTCTATATTGCTCTGCATGGGTTATAAATGGATCGATCCAAAGTGGCCAACTATTTAGCACCTTTTAAAGAGCACTTTAAGTGACACTAAATCGAGCTAACGACACTCAATTGGGTGCTAATTGTACAATTAAACTTTGCTGAACGCAAACACTACGAACCGGCACCCAGATCGAAGCGCCGCGGGCATCACAGAGTGTGTGTCCGAGTGGCAGGGATTGTGCCATCATCAGTTCGACTCGGACAGCTAATGGCATCAACATATCGTTAAAATACAACTGAAAAAAAAACCCTACGGACGTACCAAGCCAATCCAAACCAAACCAAATCAAGAGCTGCACCATTCGCCGGACACTCGTCGATGGCTCTCTAATGGTAATTATCTGCTTCATAAATTCTCGTTCAATTGCGCTCAGTGCACAGGCGGCATTCCGGCATGGAAGTGTTTTAATTGTGGCACCACCGCGCTGTGGAACCAGGCTTCGGGCTCGGAGTGCGGCTCGGATAGGATTCTCCATTTCTCTCGCATCGAATGTTGTTGAAAATTGCATTAATTTAACGCATGATTGGCAGAGTCAGCAAATGGAAGAAGCCTGGCGTCGCAGATAGAGTGAAATTATGCAAATTTTGCTTTATTTTTTTTGGTTCCTTTTTTCGAATGTGAGAGTGCCCAGGCCAGGCCAGGCAGGCAGGCAGAGCTGCCAAAGCATTGACTGTTCAATTGCTCAATTACACTGGCCCACAAAAGAGTACGGAACGGCGTGCTAGCTAAAGTCAAATGAATATTAAAACTTTCAGCTGTAATTTTATCTTTAAAATTATTTTCTTGTGTGCTGAATCCTTGTGGATTTGCTGCTATTTGATTTTGCATGGAACTGAATACGTTCCCTTAAATATTTGCCTTTTTTTAATAAGAAACTAAATCGTAAAAGTGTTGAAATTTTATTTAATTTGCTGAAAAATAATGTTACAATTTCCGCACTGCTTCCCTGATGAATATCTTTCTTTCTTTCCAAATTATTCTGAATTATAAATAACTAGAAAATATTTATGGACTCCAAAACCCTGTTGTCTGGTGTTTATTTTAGTTACTTTTGCTCGTTTTCATTTCAGAAAAAAATGGCAAAAACAATCAGAGTAATTGGCTGTGCTGCTGGAGTCACTGCGATGCTAATTTTGCTGCTGCCACTTTGCCTGCTCCGAAATGACAGGCCAGCGCACCACGGTGATGGCTACAGAAACTCCAATAGATCACATCATGAGGTCAGTATTGCTGCTGCTTCTACTTCTACTTCTTTGCTGGGTTCTGGCCCAGCCAACGATTCGTGGCGCCGGCAGCAGATGTTGCAGCTGCATCGACAGAAGCGCTATCTGCTGTTCCCGGAGGGCAGCTCGTTCCAGCTGGTGTTCGACATAATCATACCCATTGTGGACTACACGAACTACGCCATACTGGGCATCACATGTGCCGTGGCCTGGGAGCTGCCCAGCAAGGCGCCCAGCGAGCTGATTGAAAACGTGCTCACTCGCATCAATGACGGCACCATCGGAACTGTCCGTCGCAATGGCAGTGCCAGCGGCCACGACTCGTACCCATACCCAGACCCCAATCGAAGCCCCCCTGCTAATTGGCAGCCAGTGCACGCACCATCGGCAGTACGTACATCGCTGCCGCTGCCGCGGACACCAGATCGTCCAGCAGTCCAGTCCGGCTCCTACTATACGAACATCCTGCGCTCCGATTCGGCGGCAGGCACTTCTGCATATGCAAATGCGAATTGGAATGCAAATGCAAATGGACAGGAGCAGCAGCAGCAGGAGGGGCAGCAGCACCGACAGGCGACGTTGCCGGGTCCGGCTAATTGGCATGCGCGACAGTCGGTCGCAAAGTGGCAGCGACCGCGACCGAGTACGGGTGACGTAGACCCACCACCGCCGGACAATTGGTGGCGGCGCAACAAGGACCGGCTGCAGCTGAATTGGCGTGAAAAGCAAAGCAAGTGGAGTCCCAGCGATGCCCAGTCAAAGTGGGAGTGAGTAAAGGGCATCCCAACATACATATATATACACATATTTATAACCATATTCGTACCGTTCACAGCATCGACTACACCCAACGTCCACGCCGATTACTGAAATCGCCGCCACAGCATCACATTTATCCTGTTTTCGGCAAGCGACGGCGACGCCGACGCCGACGACGAGAACAGAGCGGGATGGAGCGGGATGCGCACTTTGAGGGTTTCCATTTGCAGCAACATCTCAGCTCTCGGCAGCTGCTCTTTGGCAAAATCGAACGGCTATATAAGGCGTAAGTGAAATCTTATCATCACGAAACTTTTGAGAACTTTGATCCACTGAATCCGCCTGCGTCCTCCTACTGCTCCTACCCCCCCACCACAGTCAGCAACTCAATGGCACGGCCTGTGTGCTTCGAGCTCTTTGTGAGTCTGCCCAGAGGCAGCAGCAGCAGCAGCAACAGCAATCAGGAGCCAGGAAGGCCTCTCAACCGCAAAGCTTTATCATGGAACTGCTGTCGGCCATCTTTCAGCTGCCTGCCAGCGATGAGGGCACTGAGGTGGAGGCACTGGCACTGGCGCACATTTCGCCACATTACCTGGAAGCGCATCGCCAACAGGGAAACTGTTTACAACTCTACAGCGATTGCCGGCACGCATTTTGGTACGCTTAAACGGCAAATGACAATAAAAAAAAATTATACAAAAAATTATAAGTTGCGGATTTTCGATTCATATAAAATGGAGAACACAATTAGGAATGTTTTCAGCTGTCTTTCGTTCAAGAATAATGCGGCAGTGGAGTAAATTCCAGCGAACTATTAGCTCTATAATATTCTATCTTTCTCAGATGATAAATTTCCCTTAGACAGGCCCATAAGAATTCTTATCCTCAAAGATTAGACTTTAATAAGGGCGGCAGCTACTTATATTAAAGCTATTAAATACAGCGCATTACTTCATATTCCTTTGGTAACTTTTTGTCATCCTTTTGGAGCTACGCGGATATTTCAGAGCAAGGCAATAAGCTCGATTATACAAAAGTCATTTAGAAGTTTCAGCGCTTTGCCGCTGAAAGCATTCCACGAGTCAACATGACCTTCCGTTCAAGTTTATCCTCTATACAGTGGGTGGTAGGAGGAGGCAAGAAAAACTGCGACTAGTGATCACATTACTTCAACTTGAATTCCTCAGCTTCAGCTTCAGCAGCAGCATCAGCAGCAGCTTCAGCATCTGAGAGGTAGACAGAGAGAAAGACAGAAAGAAGTGCGCTACTTTTGAGATAGAAAGAATAAAGTTGAAGAAGCCAAGTTGGGAGCGTGAAAAAGTAATTTGAACCTTTAAATAGTCCAATGAGCGGCGCTCACGAAGCAGGGCAGGGCAGAGCGGACAAGACGCAAGACAAACTACTTGCCAAAACACCAGAGACCAGAGAAGAGACCAGAGAAGAGACGAGAGCAAACGAGAAGTGTGAAAACTAATGAAAGAAACAAAAGCAAAGCGAGAAAAGAACTTTAACGAACGTAGCTCAAACTCAAACATGAAAGTTTCTGGCCAAAACCGGGCGGTATCAGGGGCCAATGGAGAGACAGAATGTTTTACAATTAACAAGAGCCATAGCCATGGCCATGGCCATGCCATGCCACGGTGTCTTACAATGGTCAGCAGTGCCGTGAGACTTTGGCTGACAGTTGGCGTATAGACAACGCGTGAACCGCAAGTTAAGGAGAGGCGATGTGCACCAGCAGCAGTAGACCCAGGCCCAGGCCCAGACCCAGGCCCAGGAGTAGCTGCTTTGGAGCCAGCTTACTAACCGCTCTGACGCTGATGCTCGTCGCTTGTCTCGCTGCCGGACATGCAGATGAATTGAAAGCCAGTCCATCCATCGAGCACGCACCAGCAGTCGGCAGCCCATCACTCGGCACAGACAATACCAATGGCAGCCTGGAGCAGCTCATCGAGTTGAAGCTGAACGAGTCGGCCAGCAGGGCAGCGCAGTCGGATGAGCTGCTATCTAGGAAACGGCGCTATTTGGTATTTCCGGAGGGCAGCTCCTTTCAGATGGGTAAGCCAGCCGTCCCCCCGCCTCAGCCACAGCACTGCACTCATAAGTGATGCAAATTACACGCCTCAATTGGCGCCCCCTCTGTCCCTGTCTCTCTGTCTCTCTCCCGTTCTGTATTCTGTGTTCCGTGCTCAGTGTACGATGAGATTGTGGGTGTTGTGGATCACACCAACTATCTGATTCTCGGCATTACGGTGGCCCTGGCCTGGGAGCTGCCAAGCAAGCCGCCCAGCGAGGAGCTGGACGATCTGCTGACCAAACTGGAGGACGGCACCATAGATATCAGTCGCAACGACACCGTGTCCAACATAACCTATGTGGACGATGCTGCGGAAGCCACCACCAAGGCAACGTACTACAAGCCCAACTACATCCACTTGGGCTCCGGTTCTGGCTCTGGCTCTGCAGCTGGCAGCAATTCCTACTACAGCTCTAACCCTGTGTTCCGTACGCCCATGCATCCGTCACATCAGTATGCGGACAGCTATTACAGCCGCCCCAAGGGTGGCAGGCGAAAGGACAATCACTACTACTACAGCAGGCCCGCGGCTAGTGCCAGCAATCCCTTCTCCAAGTGGTCAAGACCCTACACACCGGCGCACAACTCACGTTATCCCTACTGGGCTTTGTCCTCGCGGTAAGCATACCGTATATATATATAGACATATATACCTCTCTCATACTCCCTGATGACAGCCTCAAGGATCGCTATTATGGGCAGACTAGCTACAGGCAGGCACCTCAGGCACAGAGACGTCAGGACCCGCCAACAACAACGACGACCACTAGCCGACCCACCCGCAAGCCGGCACCACGTCATCATCACATATATCCGGTGTTTGGCAAGCGCAGCCTGCCGGATGCAGCCAATCCGCATCAACGTCAGCGGCGCAGTGGAGTGGCAAGCCAGCATGAGGCCGGCATTAGCCGGCTGGAGCAGCTGCAGATCAGGCATCATCGCAGCAGTCGACAGGCGCTGTACGAGCGCATCGAAAAGTATTTGGATAAGTAAGTCAGCGAACTCCAGCATGGCGCCAACTAAAGCTGCAACTTCCGCCCCTTAGACGCGGCCATCCTGGCTATCATTGTGTGCTGCGCACCCTTTGCGAGACGGGCCAGAAGACGAAGCAGGAGCAGGAGCCTGGCACCTTTGTGGGCGAACTGATGCGCGCGGTCTTCACCATACCCGAGGCCTTGGACAACGAGCCCGTTGCCTATCGCGACACGCACTATGACAAGGCGCATGCCTCTGGCGGTGACTGTGCGGCACTCTATCCCGAGTGCAAGCAGTCCATGTGGCAGGCCCATTTCATACAATAAATGTCCCCCATTCAACAGTCTCCCCCAGTGCTTTCTGATGCCCCAAAATGTGTGTTTATTCAATGCCATTTAGCGCCCAGCAGCCATGCCAGAATATTGAACTTACACGAGTCACGGAACTGGCGATCACAATCGTCCGGCTGCATGCGCATAGTACGGCTATAGTCATCCTCTAAGCCCGATATGGTGGGTAAGCTAATGTGCATATTGGTTAGAAAATATTACAAAATATAAGCTAGCTTCCACCTACGTGAATATCAGACGCACAATATCCTGTATCATGGAATAGCCTTGGGGCAAGAGCAAACGCTTGCTATCACAAATGGCACGCAGGACACAGGCCTTCGTGTCGATTCCTAGACTGCAAAAAATAACAGCAATAACAGAACTTTTCGCACAGATGAGTGGAGTTTACTTACAGCTTTTGGAACCCATCGAAATGCTCAAACAATTGCCGACGATCGCGATGTCCATTGTAATGCCGCCAATCGTCCACGTGTGCCAGCTCCGCATAGTGTGGCGGCTGGTGCGGTGCCATATCCGGATCGTATGGATCTACAAAGTGCTCAGACTGCTCATAGGGCGTCACCTCGGGATCGTAATGCTCCCCATGTGGCGATCGGTGCCAACGTTTCGACCACTGCGGCGACTCCGTTGTCCATTTGCTCCAGCTCTGTGGCTGTGGCTGTGGCTGGGACTGGGGCTGGCTGTACTTTTCATATTTGTGTGCTGCAGCCGGCGACCAGTTCTCATATTGTTGTCCGTACTTTGACCAATGTGCCCATTTGGCGGGATCCACATAGGATGGCGTGGGGGGCCGCACATCGATGCGCGAGTGCAGCCTAATGGGCGTGGGTTTCTTCACAGGCGTAGCCTTAAATCTCCAATTTGTGCCCGGTATCCAGACATACGTGGGCGCCGCCGTGGTCTTTGGTTTCTGTGTGGTTGTGGTCCTGGCTCGATAGCGCTTCGGGTAGACATCCTCCCGTTTGGTGGGCACCGGGTAGTAGCAGGCCTGCTCTATGTTCATGGCCACGCCCTTGGGAAAGGCTGAGATCAATCCCTTGCTTAGCTGGCCCGTGAACTTTAAATTGGAGCCCGGCGGAAAGAGCACATAGCGCTTTCGACGCGAAAAGACACGTTCCACGGCATGACCGAGCTCGGTTTGGTTTTTATCAGCTCTCAGGACTAAGGCCAAGGCGAGCAATTGAAGGGCGAAGATTAGCACCAGAACGCAACGCATGGCAAAAGATCACTGATTGAGACATCGCAGAGATCGCGGAGCCAGCTTATGTCGATTCAATTGAATTGTCAATTGATTTGTTTGCCCGTAAATGGAAATCGATTTGGTTTTGTGGGTGTGAAGTGTTTAGTAAATAATTGTCGAAGCTTTCAGCTGTGAGTTTACTCGGAGAATGTGCTAGAAAAGCAAACTAGAAAAGTGGGCGCAGCATAAAGAAAATACCGCTAGTAGCAGCTACTTGGAGCTCGTTCTCTGTTCAGCCCTAGTTGTATTTTAATTGAGAGTTCCAGCAATGCCACGTCCGATATTCAGGGTTATTTATTGAATAAATTGAATTCTACATTTAAAATTAAAAGTGAATGTATTTATTTATTTATTCTACTCTGCCGCTCAGCAGCCATATTAACAAATTCATATTACATTTAGTTTTTAATTCGGCAGCACAGCCATCGGCAGCTTGATCCATTAGGCGACTGTATTCATCCTCCAGGCCATCCAAACGAGGCATGCTGCAATTAAATATCTTTGTCAATCATTCAAAGTATGAAAGGGTGATTCCAAACCCACGTGAAAACGACGCGCAGCATATCCTGCAGCATGGAGTATCCAGGCGGCAGCAGCAGGCGTTTGCTGTCGCACATGGTGCGCAATATGCAGGCCTTTATGTCCAGGTTAAGCCTTTACGAAGGGATATATATAAGCTACAATAAATGGATAACACAAAAACTCAATGTCTACCCACAGCGAACTCAGTTTGTTGAAGCGTTCAAACAGATCCCTGCGATCTCTATGGCCAGGATACTGATGCGACTGCCAAGCACTCCATTTGGGTGCTGGTGTTATCCATTTCTGCCACTTTTGTTGCTGCTGCGTGGCATATTCGTTCCACTGCTGCCACTTGGCTGGATTGGCGTAGCTTTCGTCATCGATGCGATGCGTCTTGGGCGGTGATTGTCGCCACTTGGGCTGGGGCAAGGTCTGGGCCTTGAAACGCCAATCGGTGCCGGGTATATACACATACGAATCGGCTAGTTGCTCGGGTTTCTTCGTTGTCTTCGGCAAATAACGCTTGGGATATAGATCATTTACTGAGCCTGGCACGGGAAAGTAGACAGCTTCCTCCAGCACAAAGGTGATGCCACGCGGATACGTGGCGAGCAGTCCTGTGGCCAAGTTGCAGGTGAATTTCAGAAACGAACCGGGCGGAAACAGCACAGCTCTTCGTTTGCGTGTGAAAACTCTTTCGACAATCGAATTCAGCTGCGTCTGGGCCAGCCCTTGTGCCACACTTGCAGCAAATCCCGCGGACAGCACCAGTAACACAAAGATCTGCACTCGCAGCATCTTGAGCCTGGAATTCAACTGAAAACTGAAAATAAGTAACACAGTAATCGACTTGGCCAGGTGACTCGATCCGAGTTGCAAACAGATAGCACAAATATTTACCCAAAACTGATTGATGGCTTGATTTGAATTTTTTTTGGGGCAGCAGCAATTGTTGGACTTGTTCTGGGCTCGGGGTACTTGGCCAGTTTTCGACTCTGACTCAAGCCGAACAGTCCAAAATGAAACTGCTTCGCATAGCCTCATTTATTTGGTTCATTTCGATTGTTAAGTACTCGAAATCTTTGCTCTGGCCATCATCCTCCAATTTGGGTGTAAGTAATGGATCGCAGACGAGTCTTTTGCCAGCGGAATTAATTCCCTGATTAGCTTACCCTTTCAGTGTCCACGCCCATTGCCGAGCTGTACCCAGAGCGTCGCATACTCATCGACTGGTGCTTCGCCATCTCCTACAACTATCCGTACAAGCTGAGCGAATTCTACAGCATACCCATTTGGCCGGGCTTTGCCAATAACAATGTGAAGCGTGCAGTGCCACAATTGGAGCAAACGGATGCGAATTTCTACACCAAATACGGACACGATGCGGCGTCGGGCGGCATACATCCCAAGGATTTCTCGGCGGCCGAGCTCTATGCCTTTCTGGAGGATACGCTGGCGGGCTATGGCTACCATGAGACCTGCCTGCTGCGCAGCGTTTGCGAGCTGGCCCAGCATCCGTTCGACGGCAGCCATCAGCACATGCTGACCGATTTTGTGACATTTGTGCTTAGCCCCTCGCTGCATGCGGGCTTCCGGGACGAGGAGACAGTGTACAGGCGCGCCTACGAGCTGGCCGAACAGGACGGTCTGCTGGGCAGGGACTGCCAGCAGCTGTATGCCCAATGCAAGCACGATATCTTACAGCACATAAGCCAAGTGATATTCCACTAGAACGAATAAAGGGCCTAGATCTTTAGGCCTAGATGTAAATTGCGCAAGATCTGTGCGTTTCATTAGCAACTCTTTTGGGGAGCACTAATTAACGCAGTGCGTCGTCCGGCTGTCATGTCCACTCCACGTGAGTTTCTGGGGGGCTCACAACAAAATGTATCTCAAGCGCGACCACTTCATTGGCGCTCTGCTTTCACTGGCCTGGCTGCCAGCGAGCTGCGCCAAGTTTCCTCTACTCTTTCCGGCCGCATCCGTGTACCAGGTGACCTCCTCGCTATCCGTGCCCGTGGTTATACCCGGTCGCAAGCTCTTCTGGGACTGGGGCCTGCAGATGAACTATGCGTTTCCCAGTAAGCCCGCCTCGTTCTACGCGGCCACCATCTGGCCGGATGAGTTCTCGCGGCGTGGCAGGCGCCAGCTGCGCAATGAGACCGGCAAGTACATGCCCCAGGGACAGGCCGCCACGGACATGCATCCCAGCGACTTTACGGCCGGGGAGCTGTACGAGAGCCTGGAGAGCATGCTCGCGCGCTACGGCTTCGATGAGTCCTGCCTGCTGCGCAGTGTCTGTGAGCTGGCCCGCCATCCCTTCGACGACGCGCACCAGAATATGCTGACGGGACTGCTGACCTTTACACTGACGTGAGTAGAAGTAGCATCAGCAGGGCGCAGCCAAATGATTTCTGTAACTTGCAGGCCATCGCTGCACGAGGCCTTTGCAGCCAGCGAGACGCTCTATCGCGAGGTGTACGAGCAAGCGGAGCAGCAGGGATTTCTGGGTCGGGATTGTGCCCGTCTGTATCCCAATTGCTCGGTGGACTTTCTGAGCGGCATCAGCAGACTGCTAAGCTAGCAGGATGCAGCCCAGGAATAATACTTTAAATGTCAGAGGAAGCCCAATCCAAGTTTAAAATAAAATAAATGCTACACACACGATTCGCACGATTAGAGGACTACAACCATTTGTATTTCATCTGACTATTCTAGTGACTAGATTCACGATATCCATCCCACAGCTGGGATACTCACGCTGGCAGTCGCCGCCAAGGAAGCCAATTTGCTCGGCTCGCTCATAGCTCTCGCGGTAGAGCTGCTCGCCAGCCGCAAAGCCTTCGTGCTGCGAGGGTCTACAGTGGGGCAAACAATTAGTAAAGAAAGTCTCACACAGTGACAGTGACTCCAGCTGCAGCTGAACTTACGTGAGCAGAAAGGTGATGACTTGCGTCACCAGGCCGTAGATGTGATCCTCGGCAAAGGGATGCAGCGACAGCTCACAGACACTGCGCAGCAGACAGGACCTGTGGTAGCCGTAATTCTCCAGCATATGCTCCAGGCCCTCATACAGCTCTCCCGCGGTAAAGTCACTGGGATGCAGCGCACTCTCCACGCCCAGGCCAGCTTCAATGCGATTGTCCAGCTGCCGCTTGTGACGTCGCGACAGTTCATCCGCCCAAATGGTCGAGTTGTAGAAGGACGACAGCAGATTGGGCAAATTGTAGTTCATCTGAAAGCCCAGATCCATGAAGACCTTGGTTCTTGTGGGCAGATCCAGAGGTATCGATATGGATGAGGTAATTTGCAGCACTGTTGTGGCAGGAAACAGCAACAGGCCGTGTGTCAGGCCGATGCACAGGCCAATCAATATCAATGCCGACAGGTTGGCGTTGTGCTGCTTTGGGCGACGCATGGCGTTGTGAACCACTTGACATCCACTCAGCAGTCAGCAGTCAGCCAGTCAGCCAGTACCGGATTTCTTCTTTGTCTTTGGTCTATTTGAATCTTTAATTAGACAAGCGCCGAGTGAACCAGAGCATTGACCAGTGGAGCAGCAATGCGTGAGCAACAATTAGAACAGTCCACAAAACTAGAAAAAAAAAATCAAATAAAACTGGAGCGCATGCTACAAGTTGTGGCTTTGAATAAAGCGTGATCCGGGCAATCAAACACATCTGGAATTCCCCCACCCCTGACAATATGCCCGGTACAGGCGCAGCTTGATTCTACCTACGCGTATATCTGTTCCAATTTAGCAGCTATAACGCTGTAATTTTCTTGTGCTATGGAAACAGAAGAAAAATCAATTAAAAATCTATTTTCTAAAGTTATATTTTCTTGTTCTATCAATTAACAGGGGAATCGAGTCAGGTACCCCTACCAGACCCCACAGCTGTCAATTTGTTGGGCAAACAATTATTGCGTCGCTGTCTTTCGGGGGAATGGAACCACAAAGTTTCCGATTTGAGCAAAGCAATGTTAGTTAAAAATTCGATTCAATACAAACAAGATGCTTCACAGAGTTCAGCCCTGGCCGTGGCTGTGGCTCTGCCTCTGCCTTACTGTGATCTGCAGTCTCGCCTTTGTGGCGGGCCACACAAGGAATATCTATGGCCCAGACGGCAGCTGGAATGGCAGCCATAACACACTGAGTCGCTCGAAGCGTGTGGCCATCTTCGATGGACAGGGCGTTACCAAGGTGGGGGCATACCACTAAATTCTAAATTCTAAACCCTAATCCTTACGCCTTGCCTTGCCCTTGCCCTGTTGCAGTTTGTGCCTAGCTTGGCGTATCCTGTGAAGCAGGCGGACAAGGAGCAGTCGTTCTGGTGGTTCGTCAACTTTCAGTGCCAATGGACACCCACCTCAATTCCCCTCTATTGGTGGAGTTTCTGGAACACCACCGCCTTCGTGTCCACAGCCCGTGAATGGCGCAAGGATATGCAACTCAAACTGAAACACGATGAGGCACGCACCTGGGTCTACGATGCCATCGAAACGGGCATGGAGCAGTAAGTCAAGTGAACCCCAAAACTCAGCTGGATGTGTGAAATATATTTCTGCTTTCTGCTTTCAGGCTGGATGGCGAAAATGGAGGCGTGTGCCTGCTGCGCAGCATCTGTGAGATATCCCAGCGACCCTTTCAGAACAGCAACATTTTCAGCGAGATACTCAATGCGGTGCTGGTGTAAGTATACTCTTTGGTCTTCAACTGCTCCTTGAACTATAATCAGAGCTAACTGATCCACACACAGACCCACCCTCGACAATGTGGCGGAGAAGTATCTGCACGCACGGGACGCGGGTCGTGCGGGTGCGGACTGTGAAAGGAGCTACGACGACTGCAATCCGCTGCTCTGGATAATGGTCACGAATTTGGCGAAGAATCCCTTTTGAATAAAGCATCTATACAGCAACTATGTTTAGTCCGCAATTTATTGATTGGAAAATGGTTTGCGACAGCTCCAGACCCTCCGCTTGTTTGGTTTGCTTTGGTTTGCTTTGGTTGTTTTTGTTTTTTTATGATCTCTGAGCACTATTTCTTACGGAGTGCACGCAGCCGGAACTCGGCCCAGGCCTCGCACATCATTGGCGACTTATAGCAGGCACACTCGCTGAGGGGCAGGGCGCCGGGCTTGAGTCGCCGACACTCGGAGAACGAGGGGTAGGGTGTCAGCGGCTTGCGGCAGTCCGCGGGCGGCGGATAGCTTATGCAATTGGGGGGAATGCGACCCTTCTTGTGGCAGCGACGCTTAAATTTCGGACAGTCAAGGGAGTCCGGATCCGGACATGGTGGCGGTTCGCAGGCTGTCTTGGGCTTGCGATGCTTGCGGCGTTTCGCTGGCGGCGCCTTGGCCTGGGCAAAGCAGCAGATCTTCTTCTCCTTTATCTTGAGCGGGGGACACGAGACCCAGGTCTGCCAGTATCTGCGCTTGGCCTTGTCCGACTCCACATAGTAGATGTCATCGAAGCGCGGATTGAACGGACAGTGGGCCTCGTGCGGATCACAGAAGGGGTTCAGCCACATCGACTTGAACCGTTGCTTTGGCTTCGGCTTGGGCTTCTTGCGCTGCATTTTCGGCTTGCCACACGGAAACTTTGTGATTATCCTCTTGCATCTGGTCTCCCGATCCTCCTGGCACCCCTCAAACGAGGACGACAAGCGGATGCAGTTTCTCACGGTGCGCATCAACTTTTGCGGCTGTAGAAATCCGCGCAACACCGAAAGGCCACCCATTTTTTGTTTTTTTGTGTTTGATGGTAGACAATTTTTTGGTTTTTTTTTTTTTTTTTGGCTTAGATCAATTTTAATGTCAACAGTTTTTGTACGGACTAAATTTAGAAAATTTTGATAAGCAAAATATATATTATATGTGTTTGCCGGATCGGTCTGGATACTGTACTGAGCTGACGCGCTGCATTACCCGGCCACAATGACACTCCACTGGGATTTGTTACACAGACTACTGGGTTCGATATTTCTTGGTGTTCTGTGTGAGGAAGTCCAAAACGTGATACGGGCAGCTTAGGGCATAGAAGCGGACACAGTCCCGGACAGACGTGCGATGTCTGTACTTGTCATCAGTCACCTCTTCGGGCACACTAAAACAGGCAATTGAATCTGGCTCAAGTGGGGGAGATATTGTATGCTACATACGTGAGTATAATCCGCACTAGATCCTCCATTAGGAAGCCTCCTTTAAGCCGCGATCTCAGCTCACACATGGCCCGTTTTATGCAGCTTCTAATGTCCAACTGGAAGCTAAGAAAGAGCATACATTTCACATACCACTTCACACATGTCTCCCAGTACTCCCCGAGTATCCCCCAGTGCTTACACTTTTCCCATGGCCTCAAGTTGATCGAATATCGCTCTGCGCTCCCTATAGGCGCGATTCCACTTCCAGCTGGGCACATGCGACCAGGACTCGTAAGCCTCCTCATCAACCGGCGCCTGTCTATGGATCTTCCATGGTGTCGTAGTGGACAAGTGCCAGGGAGTTTTATAAAATGAATTCGCATCGAGTTTCGGCCTGAAACTATTTATTGAGTAATTATTTCTGTCATTTATTTATGGATTTCTTTTACCTGTAATATGGTACTCTTCCATACCCTTCGCTATGTATCGGTATGTGCTGTACACTCGTATGCGGATATTTATTTGGTCTTCGATAGGCGTACCAATCCCAACGTCGGTTTGTGGCTGGTTTATGTTTGTAGTTTTTCAGAATCTTTGGCTGCCAACCCTCGATTGTGTCCGGCAATGGGACATACATATCAAACTCCAGACTATACTGCAGGCCACTGGGTCTGCCGCCCACAATGATCTTGGTTAGGGCAGCCGTCAGCAGTAGCGAGGCTTTGTCCGGAAAGACCAGACCTCGCACACGACGCGTCAGTAGCACATCCTTTGGGGATTTGCCGCACAGTTGGGTTTGATTTTCCAGTGCCGCCGCCGCCACCCCACAGACGGCATGGAGAATACAAAGTAATGCCAAGGTAACGCACCTCATGCCGACGTAACCAAAAGTCTACTGATCGGCGGACCAGCCTGCGCCTGTCCCACAAAATTAGCGCCAGACGAGAGAAGTGCGCTAATTAAACTAGAACCGGGTGGGGGGGCTTACAGCACTTTGGGCCGACAACGTAGGCCTGGATTTTTTTTGTTTTTGTCGCTGGCTTACATGTCACATGGAAAACGTAGCTAAAACATCAGTGTTTAGGGTGTGATTATTATTTATTTGGGAATCTCTGAGACACGAACGAAAAGTTGCATAAAAATACATATATTTACACAATTTCTATTGGCTAATCTTCTGCAGAAATTTCTTAATCATCATGTCAAACATTCAATGCAAAATAATGCTTAATCGCTGCTTGGAACTGATGCGTGCCCGCATCGAGGAGGCGCAGAGTCGACACGTTGGTCATCGCGAACAGAACGCGCAGTCTGCAGTCGCCAGCAGCTTTTTGTCCATGGAGCAGGAGTTGCGGGAGCGGGAGAAGATGTCCGCCTACCAGCGGAACAAGCGTCGCTCCATGTGGGAGCAGCAGGAGCAGAAGAACCACCTCCAGCAGAACGACGCCGGAGAACGCAGCGGCGATCGCACCTGGGTTGACTTTCCCGACTCTGAACGTCGTCGCTCGGCCAACAACCGTCCAAGCACGGCCAAACCGTGCAACGATGCGGCCAAGGCCTTCATTACCCAGTGGGGGGGAAAAAGTGATTCTTGCACTTGATTTATTCCACATTTGTGGGCTTAAAATTTGTAGTGAACCGAGCAAGCGTGTCCAAAAATAAATCCCAAATAAGATTTGTGTTACATTGTCAGTTTAGGAAAAAATTAAAAATTAAATACATTTTATACATAGCTCTGAAGTAAATAACTTACATCTTGAGATGTCACTGTTTGGCTTGGCGGGCCGACTGGTTCGATGCGCCTATCTGCCGAAGTGGGAACCACTCCAGCTTGCGCGTATACGCGGACCACGAAAGATACCCCATATGCCCATCAAGGGTCCCAGGGACTATGACTACTGGCGCCGTTTGAAGCGCAAGAATCCACCAAAGCCAAGCAGACCGGTGCCGAAAATCCAACCCACACCACGACGAATCCTCAAAAAGCCCAAAAAGAACGTAAAAGTAGAAAGGGAAACGGAAAAGAAAAAGAAAAAGTAAAGAGAAGACAAATGAGGAACATTGTTTGCAACCGATAAAGAATAGACACGCATCAACATATATCTTATAGCCCATCATCATTTTAAATGAATTTCAAAGAAATTTGTGTGTTTAAATCTAAATTTACCCGATTAAAATAACTATAATTCGACGTACAATTAACTATGCTATCGTGTTTACCTAGTCCTAGCGAAACGAAAAACAAAAGCTCTGCTTCGTGTGGATTTTCAAATTTGAAGCTGCCGCCGATTCAGCTGACAGCTGAATTTGTCAACAATCGATAATAGCGCTATCGAATTTTCTCGCGCATTACAGCACGCTGTTAGCAGTAACAGCAAACGAAACCCTGCTGCCCATCGCAGTTAGTTGAGAATTTTTAAATTGAATTTCAAATACTTTTATTTATAAATTATTGCAGACTTTGCGCTTAGGGGCTACATACATAATCTATTGTAATATCAAGTCATTTACCAATACAAAAGTCTTTGAATACGACGTCGAGTATGTCTTCGCAGCTGACGTGACCCGTGATCCGTTCAATGCAGCGTACAGAATTGCGAAGCTTTGCAGCTGCAATGGCCATGTCGGGGAAAACATCCGGCTTGTAATCTCTCAGAAATATATCAATGTTCTCGATGCAGCGCTCCAGTTGTTGACGGTAGCGTGCGTTTGTGATGCGCGGATGCTCGGCGCGCGGTGTGCCGCAGAGCTCCTGCAGCTGCTGCTCGAGCGCGCCGAGGAATGTGGGCATATTGGCGGGCTGATGGCAAGAGATGGACAGAACGCTGCTGAGCTTGTCCAGCCGCTGGCACTCCTCCGCTGATAGGGTGTCGGTTTTGTTGGCCACCAGCTGCACTCGCTTTCCGCTACACAGATCCGTGGAAATATCCAAATCCTTCAGATAGCTCTCCACATAGCCAGCCACCGTCTCGTTGCTGTCCAGCTGCTTTACGGCCATGGCATCGGTCAGCAGCAGTATTAAATCGGATTCAGCGAGACATTTCTTTGCTCTTTTCATCCCCTCGCGTTCTATGCTGTCCGCTGTGTGCCTCCGCAGGCCGGCCGTGTCGGAAAATATCACCGGGTATCCGCCAAAGTTGTGCATCGTCTCTATAATGTCACGCGTCGTGCCCGCCTGATCGGTCACAATCGAAACGGAGCGCTGGCAGAGCAGATTCAGCAGACTGCTCTTGCCCACATTGGGCGCACCGACGATGACGGTGCGCACACCATCACGCAGCAGTTCGCCCTGGCGCTGGTCATTCAAATGGTCGCGAATCTCGCCTCTCACAGCCTTCAGTTCCTTGGTTAGCTGCAGTATGACGCCGCCCTCAATTTGCTCCTCTTCGGCAAAGTCTATGTAGGCCTCCAGGTGGGCGGCACATCGGATGAGACGCTTCCGCCACTTGTTGTATAGGCGGCCCAATGCGCCCGTGCTCTGCAGCAGTGCCTGAAAGGGAGAACGGAGCATGTCAGTGCATGTCCATTAGCTGTTATCCGAGAATCTCACTTGCTTCCTTTGTGCCTCGGTCTCGGCGTGAATGAGATCCGCCAGACCCTCGACCTCTGTTAGGTCCAGTTTGCCGCCAAAGAAAGCACGCTTCGTGAACTCTCCAGGCTCCGCCGGTCGCAGTCCATCCAGCCGCCCAAGCGCGTCCAGCATGGCTGCTATGACTGCCAGGGAGCCGTGCACCTGAAACTCGCAAGCATCCTCGCCGGTGAAGGAGGCTGGACCTGGAAACCACAGCAGCAGGCCCCTGTCGATCATTTCCTTGCTGATGGGATGGAAAAATGACTTCAGATACGCCTGCCGCGCCTTCGGCTCGTACTCATTGCATCCAACTATGGCGCGGAGGGCCCTCTTTGTCTGTGGACCGGAGACGCGTATCACGGAGACGCCACACTTGACGTGGCCCGAGCTGAGGCTGTATATGGTGCAGCCGCTGCTGGCATATCGTCGAAAACTGCTGCAAAAGCTGTTTGAAATATTCCGGAGCAGCGACATTCAAACAATTCAAACAAAATTTGCAAAAAATATTCGACGGATCAGCTGGCACCAGCTAGGGCTGCAAAACCATCTATGCTGTCGATACCGATATTTTCGTTTTCGTCGATAATTATAATCTTATCACTGTTTTAGGGCTGTTACATTTATTCAATATCTCAAAATAAGGTATCGAAACATCCATACGCTCTCTCAAATCGGGACGCTATCTTTTTTCGCTTTCTTCGTTGTGAGTGCGTACTCCTGTTTTATATATTCCACATGTATCGAAGACATTCTTCATGTTACAACAACAGTTTTGCAGCCCTGGCGCGCAATGAAATTTTTTGTTTACGTGTTTTAAAGTTTTTTTTCGTTTAAAATGTCATCCTGGATCACAGGATTGGCGGACAAGGCCGAGAATATTCTGAACAAAATCGACCAGAATGCGGCAACGGCCCTGCAGCTGGAAGCGACAGCGGCCGCCACCGGTGAACCTCTGAATGCGATGAAGAAGAGTATGCAGACCAGCAGCACCAATTCCTTGTCCCTGAAGTCGACACTGTCGCCAGCGAAGCGATCGAGTGCCAGCGCCAGCAATGCGTCCAGCGTAAAGAGCGATCAAGGCGCCTCCGTGGTGACCAAGGAACTGAGCAAGCGGATGACCACATCTGCCAGCTTCTCCACGAATCCGGATAGCTATGGCAGTGCCATGGACACACATGAATTGGCGGCCTTCAAGATAGCCCTGAACGAAATCACCGCCGAGCGGGATGAGCTGCGTCTGCGGCTACACGAGCTGAACCACGACAGCGAGAACTTGGCACTGCAAGAGCGCGCCCAAGAGCTGGAGACGCTCGCACAGAGACTGTCTGAGGAGCGGGACAAGGCTGTGCACGACCTGAACGAGGCCCACACCGCACACATGGCGTATGTGCACTCCATCTCGGAGCTGGAAACGAATCTGGCCAAGTTGCAGCAGGAATACATGAGCGCTGCCCACAAACTGCAGATGCAGACAAAGGAAACGGAGCAGCATCGGCTCGAGTTGCACGAGTACCGCACCAAGGCCCAGCGGGCGCTCCAGGCCAAGGATGCCCTGATAGCAGAGCTGAAGGCGAAGCCCACAGAAGAGGCGAATGGAGAGGCCAAGGACAGTGAGAGCCGTCTCCTGCAAATCGAATACGATGCTCTCAAACAGGAGCTGGAGCATGCCTACGAAGAAGTGCACAAAATGCGCCTGCAGCTGGAGGACAACGTGGTCCAGGAGAAGCAACGCGAACTGGAGCTTAGCTCTGCGCGTCAGCGGGAGGAATCTGTGGCCAAAGAGCTGCGACAGGCACGCGAATACAGTCTAACCGCAGAGTCCGAACAGCGCATGCTCACCCAGGAGCTGGCCTCGATGCGGCAGCAGCTCAGCAATCAGATGGCCGCCGCCGCCACTCGCCTGCAGGAACGGGAGCAACAGGTGCAGCAACTGCGCCAACGCCTCAGCGGTGATACCCACACCAGTGCCAAGAATGACTACGAGAGCCGACTGAAGGCCCTCACACAGTCGCTGGTCGAGCGGCAGAGCCTGTTGGAGCGCGTGACGGGCGAGAGGAATGCTCTGCGCATTCAGCACGAGAATATTCAGAGTCAAATCCAGCAGAATCAGCATATGGTGCAGATCGAGAGCCAGCGGGGAAGCCGCAACAGCATGCTGTCGAATCACACAGATGATGGTGGGTAGCTCTCATTCGAATCGGTTTTTTTTGTATCATTATATTAATTCAATTCAATTCCACAGCCAAGGCACAGTTCCCGGTACTGATGCATCCCAGTCCGTTTGATAATCGTGTGGCGCGTCGCTTCAAGCGTGCCCTGCGCCAGGCCGACTCGGTTGGCATACGCGTGGGCACCTTTCTGCGCCGCTATCCCATGATGCGTGTCTCTGTGATTGTGTATGTGGCGCTGCTGCATCTCTGGGTGATGTTTGTGCTGCTCTCCACGACGCCCAATTAAGCCCAAGGTCGTAGCTTAAACTAACTAATTGAGCAAAGGTTTTATTTGCAAATATTTGTGTGTGTATGTTGTGTGTATTGTATTTTACATATGCTGTCGTCTAGGCGGGCCTCTTCTGTACAGATACAGATACAACGGGAGGCTCCAAGAGTGTCATGTGTTTTAGGTGTTGCAACAAGTTGTATATATCGTGTCGTCGTATATCATATGCCATCATATATCATATATGTATGTATCCTTGTATCGTGTGTATTGTGTTCTAAATTCAATAAACATCCACTATGTACAGAAATTGCGATTGGTTTTTGTTTAAACTTTAAACACTAAAAACATTTGTAGGGCAAACAATTATAACAAAGACCAAAAAAATAAATTCAAACTACTAAGTTAAGTAAAAAGAACGTTTCGTCACAGTTCGAATATTGCATCCGCTAAAGCGCGTTAAGAGAGAGCCAACTGTGTAAGTACTTGATAAATGTGAACTAGAGCAGCGCCTAGGCATGGGACACAGATCCGACCAATGCGTAAGCAAATAGAGAGACAGACAAATAGGGAGAGACAGAGAGAGAGTTGGCATCAGCAGCAGAGACTTTTAGGGCGATTAGCGTAGAACAAACGCTAGATGCCCCTCAGGCGCTTATATCAGTCATCGGAATAATAGCTAACATAAACGGCATCGCCACCAATGCTAATCAAGCACTGGCCCTAAACCAAGAAAAGAGAGAGTTAATAAAAATGAACTGGGCACTGGGCGGGCGGCTGCTTACCTGATTCTTGTGCTGATTGTCGAACAAAATCAGTTCGGTGATGTAGAAGGAGACCATGGCATTGCCACCCAACGATGCTATGTGGGCCCGCACCACTGCCAGCAGTTCGGTGATGAAGCCATGCACAAAGCCACTAATGCCGCCTATTTCGCGTATGGAAGTGCTCTCCCGTATAAAGAAGAAGTTCAGGTTACCCAAATACTTTTCAATGCGGCCGCCGGGTATAAAACTCAGCGGCGTTAAATCCACGCCATAGCGATCGCGCAATGGGAACTGGGAATCAACGAAACATATCGAGAGAACTAATTAGCTTCCATTACAGTCTGCAATGTCTACAGACTTACATATCGATTCCTGTTGACTGCTGTGCCCAAGTTCAGCGACTTGACACCTGTGGAGGACGGCGTCAATCCCGACGCGAGCTGGCCGAGACGTGATGGCGATGTTTTGCGCATTTTGAACGAGCTCATGCCAAACGGCGGTATGGCCGTGCTGGTTGGTGTCGGTGTGTCCACCATTTGATCCTCGTCCAGCGGGAAAATATAATCCTCTTCCTGCAGCATTCGTTTGCCATTTGTCAGCTCTGGCTGTGAATGAGCCTCATGCACTATTGTGGCAGCCTCATGGAAGCCATTCTGCTGCTGTTGCAGTTGCGCCGGTCGTCGACGATATTTCATTTTATTGGCATCGCTCAGTCCCATGGCCATGCCAGTGACCAGAAGTTGAATTTGATCCTAAAGTCACAGGAATATATGTAGTTTGCATATCAGGAAGTAAGCTACTCTCACTTACCGATTCGGGCAGTTCCAGCCTAAAGCGTAGATCGCAAATGGCACAGGGTATCATGGTGCGCAGCTTAAAGTAGATGGTCTGCAGCAGACTGTGGGAACAAGGGAGAGCCAAGTTTAGTGGGAACACTCAAGGGACACTCGACACGCCCCACTCAACCACTCACCGCTGAAAGTGCTTGGGAAACCCATTGACACTCTGCCCAACCTCAAGACGTGCGCGCCACACTTGCGTGAACATCTGTAGATTCTTCACCGCATCCATTTCGTGCATGCCCGGCACCTGCTGTGTGTTGACCACGTGAAAGCCCTCGGGGGGATACGGTTCCATGAGCAGCGATATAATCTCCAGATCCTCTATATCATCCACCTCCAGTACACAGAGCTCTTTGTTGCCGCAATTCAAATCGATTTCGTTCATTTCCTCCTCATCCGAATCGTCTGTGTCCGACTGCTTATCGCCAGTGGCGCCACCAGAGGCTCCCGTTGCCGTTGCCGTATTCGCGGCCAGGTCGGGATCCAAGCTCTTCAGCTGATAGATCTCCTGATTGCGCTCGAACGTCTCCTGCAGTTTCTTTTGCAGCTCATTTAGCTTCTGCTTGTCCGTCCACGAGGTGCCGGCGACAATTTTCGGCACCTGCGGCACTGGCAGGGCCGTGAGGAAGAGTGCCGTGCCCGTGGCTATTAACGCTATCATGCGCTCACCAATGGCCACCTGAGTGCGCAGTCCGAAGATGGCATTCATGCCCTTGGCCTTGAGCTTGTTGATCAGCACGCGGTGCAGTTCGTACTCCAGAAATGGCAGACCATCGGATATCTCCTTGGCATTCAGCTCGGCAGCCCGCAGATCCCGCTTGGCGCGCACCACCTGGGCCTGCATGAAGCAACCGCGTCCAGTGACCTGCATGTACTCGGGCACCTCCAGCGTGGCAAGCAAAACATCTGGCACGCGTCCCTTGCGGCAAATGGCGCACTTCTTCATCTTCACATTGAACGGCACCGAGCTGAGGTTGTACGGTATGTGGCAGATGGCACAGGCGTTGCGCGGACCATTTAGCGGCGGCATGCCATAACGCTTGCCCCCCGAACTGTTGCCCGTGCCCACCGAGCCGCTGTCCTTGCTGGCACTCGGCTCTCCGCTGCTGCTGCCATTTGCCTCCTCCAGGGAATTGGACATGGCGTTGCCCGTCGTGGCCTTGGACATGGCGTAGAGATCGGTTTGCGAGACCGAACGATTGAAGACCATGTTGATGACGGCCGCAGTTCCAGTGGCAGATAAAACACAGACATCGTCGCTGCAAGCAGTCACAGGATGATGTTTATGAGGATTATTTATGGATAGTTTGGTAGCGGGATCCCCTTACGATATGGTTGTCGTCTCCGCATAGCCCAGGACCACATTACAGCCCAGGGAACGGGCATGCGAACGGATCTCCATGCGCAACTCCGTCCACCAGCTGTCCCGCACTTCTGGCTCATCCGGATTAGGCACACGCTCCAGCAACTTCACCGAACTGGCCGCCACTGTTGCACCCAGGTGGAGGATGAAGCCCGTTGGGTATTTTGTCATGGTCAGAAACGGATACTCCAGCATGTCCAGGCTATCCGCGGCGGTGCCTGCCTTGGCGCCGACAGCGGGCTGCGTTAGACGCATCATTGCCGTGGCGGCCACCAGTCGCTCGCTGGCCACACAAATTGAGTTTCCTGTGAATTGAATTTGAAGCAGAGCCAAGATATCAATCAAATATATCGCTGGTGGGATCGTATCACTTCCATTTGACGGTTGATAGAATAGGAGCAAAGGCTGAACACATTTATGTATATTTACAGAGTTATCTTAAGACTTAAGAGTGGGGTGGGGGATTCTCAGAAAATGGTGGGGATATGTAGTGATTGAAAGTTAACTGCTTAAATCGTTACTTAGTACATAAAACACTTCATTTAACTCCACCTGTCCTACATGTATTCGAACACGCGTCATGCAGCAGCGCAACTCGGTCGCTTTGCGTTTCTTTCTGGCTTGGTGTCGCCTTGAGCAACTTCTAATACAATTTTTTACAATTTACACGCGACAAAGTTTCACAGCTAAAGAATTTCTTGTGGTAATTTATGATGATCACAATTCAGTCCTCTTGAGATTCTTGCCGCTTCTTCAGCTCTACTCCACTAGGGCACTTGCGTGCACATTCTTCTGGAAATGATTCTTCATATAACGTTGATTCGCTGCACAAATTTTCCATAAGCGAATGGATACATTTATTTCCATTGAGACGAAAAGAGCCCTGGCACAGCCTCACTCTGACGTTAATTAAAATGATCTTAGTTTAGGAACAAATATATATATATGGTTGTAAATCGGATAAACGGATGAAGCATTCGCAAGAGACAGTTTGTGATGGGATTGAGGAGAACACAACGAATAACCAGAGAGACAGAGAGATACACAGTGATACAGAAGGAGGCAGAGAGGCAGGCAGGCACACTTAGACACGACACACAATTAACATCGAGAATGGACATCGAGTGAGTTAGTTAGGCAGAGGGAGCCAGCTACTTACGCTTACGATGAAGGAATGCAAAGGCTATGCCTGTGTTGGTGGTGTGCAGCGGCAGACGCAAGGAGAGAACGTTGAAAGAGACGTTTATCTGTTACTGAAAGTTACTCAAAGACAGAGGAGCTAACACACACACACATAAGTGGCAGCAGCAACAGCAGCAGTAGTACTAGGTGGCAGATGGCAAATGGCAGGGTGTCTGATGGGTGCTTAGCCTAGAGCCCTAACTTGTAGTAGTTACCCAATTATCCAGACTCTCCCCGGGACATACCTTTCGGTGTGACACTCAAATCGGAGTCGGAGGAGCGACGACAGATCTCTCCAACGGTGGCCGGCACCATGGTGGTGGCCGTCGATGCGGTCGATGTGGAAGCACTGTCTGCATTTGTTGCCGCCGATATACCGCTCTTGGATGGACTGGGCGTCATCTTAAGGCGACTGCTGTTCACTGGCGAGGGTAGGCGCCAGCCTGATGTTCCAGTTGCAGTTGCTGGTGGTGGTGGTGGTGTGGCTTGAGCGGCTGCTCCTGCTCCTGCTCCTCCTCCTGCTACTGTCTGCTGTTGGATGTCAGTGCTGGACCTAGGTTGTTGTTGTTGTCGTAGTTGTTGTTGTTTTTGTATGGCAAATGGAGCAAGCAATGATGGTTCATTATTGTTGTTACTAAGGTTAGTACTATTAGAGATATTTACAGAATGATCTAATTTGGCAACAATAACAAAAGGATTAAAATCAAAGGCGGAGGAGTAGGTGGAGTCTAGTAGCTCGGACTTTGTGGGTGTCTGGGGTGTGGGGGTCGAGGGGCAAACACGCAGCTCTGGTGCATTCAGCAGCAACGTGTTCGGTGGTACAGGAGGCAGAGGCAAAGGCAAAGGTGCTGCTACTTCATCTAGCATCGGCAGTGCAGTGGCTGTTGCTGAGCCTGTTGCTGTGCCTGTGCCTAAATGATTGAATGAAACACTGCGCTGCATGATCTTCTCGTAGCTCGGCAAATGATTCAGCTGCAGCATGGAGGAGGATGTGCTCAGGCCGGAGCCCAGCCATGCCTCATCGCTGCAGCAGGTCGGCAGCTCGGGATGTGAACTGTAGTACGGCTTCCGTTCCATTGAGAGCATAAAGGACGGATGCTTGGGCTTCAGCTCGAGCGGACTGTTCTTTGGCTTGAGGTGCATCAACTGCTGCAGGCGTCGCGAGAAACCCCTCAAATCCTCCAGCAAGTTGTGGTGCTTCGGGCCCAAATCCGGCTGACTATTCTCACAGCTGCGTGTCTCTCCCGGCCTAATCCAGTTGTCCTGCAGATTCTCCTCATCCAGGGACTCCTCCCCGTTGCTGCCAGGTGCCAACAAAGCCAATCGCAATGACTCCTCCGAATCAGTGGAGTACGTAGAGGAGCGCCCGCTCTTCAGCTGAAGAAACTCGTCCACCGGCAAGTCCGGGGCTGAGCGCGTATTCTCCTGAAACTCCGTCAGTCCGGGTACAGTCAGAAAGCTTTGGCTGGCCGCCACATGGCTGGGACGAACGCCCGTATCGTTGCTTATGGAGCGCACAATATTCGGGGGACTGGCCTTCATGTTCATGGGAAATCGCGACCTGCGACGCCGCTGCCGGAAGCTGGACGGTGCCGTGGCTGCTCCGCCGCTGCCGCCAAAGATGCTGCTCAGCGATTGGGTGGCATTCTCGGGTATCTTCGGCTCGATGCGTCTGATCAGCGTGGCATACTTCTCGCTGAACACATTGCGCGAGGAGAGGGTTAGGCGGCGCATCCGATGCGTTAGCTTCTTCTCGCGACACCGTTCGCCACGCTCGTCCTCCTGCTTGATCAAGTTCTGCATGAGATCCGCATCCTCTGTGTCGCTGCTGCCGCTTTCCAGATAGAATAGCGTTGCTGCCGCTGCTGCCTCCGCAGCAGGAGTGGGCACCGAGCGGGGCTGCCTGTATATATTGAGACGATACTGGGGCGTTCGTCCGGACAGCGGCAGACTTGCGGTGCTCGCACCCGTACAGTTGAGAAAGTCGAGATACTTTTGAGCCAGTCTTTGAGCCGTAGATGGGAGGGGAGCGAGCGTGAAAACACAAAAACACGATACGACAAAGGATACGAAAAAAACAACAACGATATTTGTTTGGTGCGTGCAAAACGATACGACAAGGAGCGAGAGGTTGTTACAGAGAGAGAGATTTTGAGAGAGTGGATGAACCATTATCGAAGATTGGATTTTTTTTTTTTGGTGTGGGGTAAAGAATGGTCAAGAGAAGAGAAGAATTGCTTTAGAACATTGTTGGAATTGTCGGCACATTTCTCGCACCTAAGAAAACGACTACGAAACGAAGATTAAAAAACACTTAAAATTACTTGGATTCCATTTATCCAATTGAATGGATGTGGAATGTGGAATACTCACTCCTCTATGAGCACTACATCTGCGCTATTTGGCTGACTGCTGCTGGTGTCCTTGATCAGGGTGACGGCTGTGCCGACGCCGCGCGCCACCACACCCACATCGCCCTCGAGGTCAAAGCATTTGGTGTAGCCGATCACGGCATTGGCACCCATATTGATGGCCTTCAGGCCCATTCTACGCTGCACCTGGCCGGACAGCTTCAGGAAGACGACTTGCCGCGCCTCATTGGAGGCGCGTGGTGTGCGTATTTTATCAATCCATTGATACTCCGGATCGTCGTTGACCACCAGCTCCTCGACAAAGCCATGTATCACCTGGGCGCGATAGCCAAACGGAACACATTGGGCTGCAAAGGCAAAGGGAAATGTGATATTAATCTTGAGAATTCGGGGACCAAGAAAACAGTACACACAGTGGAAGAAGGGAATTCCGCAGGAACTTTGTCGAAACTTGTTGACATCCGAGAACAGATCCACCTTGACTATCACATTGATTTCGCCACGTATTCCGTGCATTGTGTCGAAGACTGGTATCCAACCGGAGAGGACAGTGCCCTTGCCGTGCACCGCCTGACTAGAGCTCTCCAGGCACAAGGGATTCAAGCTAATGTTCACCTTGCCAATGGCATCGTTGGCCGAATACGTATCGTAGTCCATCAGTCGTATCTGCAGCGGCTCATCCTGCAGCTCTGCATCATCCACTTCGAAGCGAAACCTTGAAACATGACAGGACACACAGGGAATTATGATGATTGATTTGGGGGTTTTTGGGGGTCACATAACAACACACCAGTCTGTGTTCCATGTGGGATTCAGGCTCTTGCGGAATACGTCCGTTTTGTGGGTCACCGAGGCTAGCTTTATTTCCACAAACGCGTCCGTCGTTTCACTGCTCTTGTCCATGACAGGCAAATTGCGTGCCGCCTTGATTTTCACACCCACTTTGCCAGGCATCTTGTCACGTCGCTCGCACGTCCTTTTCACCAATTTGTTGCTAAATCTGCCAATCAAATTTCTTTAACTTATGTTTTCCATTTTCCTAGTTCTTAGTGTGGCTGCAATCGGAAAGCGGCTAAATACCAGCGTACGGTCACTTAGCAGCACCATAGAGATGGGACCAATCAGTCCAAGAGCTGTGATTCCATTTATTTGTTTTAAAACAATGGCTTCTAGACGGCTTATATGCCTTATACCTGCCATCTAAAATTTCTACCGCTGCGCTGCCACAAGATCCAGATCTAAAGATCCAAACGAACGAACATTGGCTCACATTATAATTCATCGGTATATTTACGGTATTATATAAAAATAAATCAGCGGGCACACTGACTACAACAAAAATCAATAGTCGCCGCCATATTTTTTCACAAAAAACTGCAGACAAAAACGCGTAGACTCCCAAATATGTTTAGTTAAATAAGTTAATACAGATAAACGATTGACAAAAGTGGTTAGAGTGTGCTGCAGCACATAAGAGCGATTCGTCACAGTTGCATTATCTCAGTTGCATGCTATAAACGCTTGGAAATCGCAATCTCCGGCATTTCTGTTCTTCTTCTTCTCATTCGTGCTGCTGCAGTGTGCGTCCGAGTCCCGCGACTGTGTGTGTTTCTGCGTGTGACTGTGTGTGTGTGTCCCAGTGCTGGTGTTTTTGTGCGATAATAAAATAATAGATAGGACGAGGAGCATGGAAGGAGCACAGGTATCATCCCCGTCGGTTGGTGGCCCACGTGGCGGTGGCTTTCGCGGACGCGGGGGAGGCGCTCCCATGCGCGGCGGATTTGACCGTGGCCGGGGACGCGGTGGTCGCGGACACTTTATGGGTGGCATGCGCGGCGGAATGGGCGGTGGACCGCCAGGAATGCAGGGAATGATGCCGGGCCCTCCACGCGGCATGCGAGGACCCAGAGGGGGAATGGGCTATCAAGGACGCGGCGGTTACCAGCCTCGCGGCGGCGCTCCGATGGGCATGCGAGGAGGACGCCCGCTCATGTACCAACAACGTAAGTGCACAGCTCCCCTCACGATATGATTTGCTATCATAGATATCTTAGAACATAATGAACACAATGTAAAACCCATTTATACGGTCGTAAGCAGCTCCCAAACAACACACAGGTGCCGACAATAACAAGACGGTGTCGCCCGTGCCAACAACAGCCACAACGGGAGAGTCACAGGCCGGCGAAGCTGCCGGAGAGCAGGAGACCACAGATGCCCAGGCCGCGGCGCCAGCATCTGTGTCCAACAACTCACATAGCAGCAGTGCTCCAGGCAGCAATGGTGGTGGAGGAGGAGGGCCTCCACCATACCTGGGACGCGGGCGTGGACGTGGCGGTCCATTCAGTGGACGCGGTCGCGGCGGTGGTTATAATCCCCATATGAATGGCAGTGGAGGCGGCGGCGGCATGTACGGTGGTCCGCATTCCCATCACAGCAGCTCCATGGGCGGTGGTCCTGGGGGCGATCACGGACAAATGCCACGACGTGGGGCACCCCGTGGCCGAGGCGGGTACAATCAAGGTATGAGTCGGCCACCCATGCATCACCATCAGGCACATAATCCCAATACACAAATTGCACCGGTACCAGCTCTCAAACGTGGCGCACCCGGTGGTCCTGGTCCAAAGCGTGGACGCTACGAGGGTGGTCCCTACGGCCAGCGGCCCATGACACCCAAATATCATAACTCTCAGCAGCATATGGGCGGCGGTGGTGGCGGTATGTCCTCGCAGTCATCCTACGGCTCGGCCCCCAGTCATCATTCATCGGCTCAAAGGTAATATTTACATCAGGGGATCGCTAAACACTACTAACGCCCAACGTTTCCTGGCTGCAGCCACCATGGCGGCTATCAGACCCACGACCAGACACAGCAGGTCGATCCTTATGCGCAGAGCAGCTACAGCACATCGACCTCGCAGCAGGGCTACAATGGCTATGGCCAGAACAGCAGCAGCTATGCAGCGCACACATCTCAGACAAGTGCGCCGGCCAGCAGCAGCTACGCCACCCATGGCACCGAGTACGATCAGAGCCAGTATCAGAGCTACAAGTGGGTTGCTTCCTCTAGTCTCTAGAGTTCTTCCTCCAATCAAATTAAGATGTATTCTAATAATATTTTTGGTTTGCGTACAGTTCAACGGGCTATGCCGCACAACAGGATACCCGCTATCCGTCGTACAGCCAGGACTATAGCCAGCAGTACGGATCCACGGCTGTGGATTACAATGCGACTGGCCAGACGGACTACAGCCAGCATGGACAGCAGAGCGCCGCTGGCTACGACGAGCGAGCCTATGCAGGCTATGGTATGTGACTCCTCGCTCTGCTTGTATCCGCCATCATCCCCCGTTGTTTTTCCGTGTCTCTCTCTATCTTCTTGCAGACTCGCAGGCTTATTCGCAAAACTATTCAAATGCCGCCGCTTACTACTAGACAACCGCATACCCGTCTCCTCACCCGCACCCTAGTGGCCAGGCACCAACCAGACAGAGCAAATAAACGCTGCGCGTGCTCCGATGATGGTCGGCCAAGTAACCAAATAGAAAAGGGATTTAAGGGCAGAAAACAAGAAAGTAGAAACAGAAATCATGTACGAGTATAACAGGAGGGTAGGGAAGGGAAGGAAGGAAGGAAGTATATGTTTAATGCATAATTAATTTGCTATATATATATATAATACAAAAATACCAACACACACACACACTCACACCTTAAACACACACATACACTTAACATATATAACTGTAGTCGTAAGGATAAAAGTTCTTCTTTTTTTTAGAAATTAAGCATAACCAAACAATTGCTGCGTCTCTTTCCATAATCTTCTACCCCTTAACCGAATCGAATCAAATTTCTCCCCCAAAATGTTTGTTTCTTTTCTGCTTTGTTTCTTCCGCATCCGCAGCTAAATCGATGAAAATCGAACTAAATGCTGCTCCCCCTGTTGTTTAATGTTTTGTTAGTGGACAAACGGAGCCCTGTGCTCCAGCCTACAAAAATGAAAGAAAAAAAAAAATATAGTATGTGCTCCTCCCCCACCTTAGATTCTTTTATAAATTACAAATTCAAGTGTGTGACCAAAGTATGTTTATAGATTCATATTTTTTACATAAGCTGAAAAAAAAAAAAAACAGAATGCCACAATGACAGTCGCGATCCGAATCACACTGGATAGAACTGAAATAAAACTAAATTTATATTGTAAATCATGTCATGTCATACAGAAGAATAGAATCGGATGTATAGATTTTAGTTGATAAGCTCAAAAACCCCCACAACTGAAACAAACCCCAAAGCATACAATGATAATGCATCATCTGGAATCGGCTATGATTTTGCAAGATTGACAAAGGCCAGAACCTTTATTTCTTATTCGTTTTTTTTTTTGTTTCTCCCTCCCAGAAATAATAAAAAAAAACAAAACCAATTTCACCGTAGCCACAATTTAAGCAAAACTAAAAAAAAGCACGTAATTATATGTAACTCTTATCAAGTAAGCCTGAGGAAAAGTGACGAAATATACAAGCAAATATATTAGCAAAAGATGCAAAAATCATAACAATTATCAAAGTCAATAAAATAATGTTCAAAAATGTGTGTAATGCATTAAACTTATTTACACGTACATATTATTATTTCAAAAACAAAACAAAAAACAAATACTATATACTATTCTGTTTAAATAAATAAGCCAAAAGAAACCAAAAATCGAAAATCAAATATTGAGTGCAAACACTTAAAAAAAAAAAAAGTAAGAAACGAAAAGAAAAGACTGAAATATTCACGAAGCGAAGCAGCGCAGAAAACTACAAGCACACAAACCAAGACTTATCAGAGATAACGAAAAACTCAACCCTCAAGTATTAAGTATTTACCAACAAAATATATATATATATTGAGATCGATCAAAACGAAAACTCAAGTGCAAAAAAAAGATATATACCAAGAAGAAAACAAGAACACCACAAAAAGTCAAATCTGAAAAAAGAAAGATAATGCAATACGCTTTGAAATGTTCTACGATTCAGTCCCTAGTGTCGCGATTAAATTTCTGATTATTCTGAAAAAACTCATTCAATTAGATATATATCTGAATCAAGAGAGATTGACAATTGAGAAAGCTTTAAGTACAAACAAAACGAATATTAAATCTATTTAATCATTCTTTGGTAAGTTAAGATTGAAGCCAAAACAATATACTATATACAAACATTTTTAGCTCATGATGAACTCAGCAAGCAACAAACAAAAATTATCACTAAGTTCTATTTGATTATGTTGGTCCGATTTGAAAGATTTTTATCTGTGATACTGTTCCATATATTTTGTTCCATAAAAACTTAAGAAGCTGCTGAGTTCGGCATTAATCCCAAAGGTCGGCCCTTTTGCCGCACTTTACCATATAAACTGTAGCATTTAGTTGTTTTTTTACAGGACTGAGAAAGCAAAGTTAACAATATAGCGTTGATAGCGTTTAATATCGCTTATCAAGTGTGAAGGAAACGAACAAGAATGGATTTGTCAATGGTGGTAATATTAAATCAAACACAACACTATTAAAATGAAAAGTAACAAAAAACCAAAACAAAACAAAAAAACAACCAACAAAAACTGAAAATATGAAATATTTTGTTTTCAATGTTGCACTTTTATGTTATTATATTTTTGTTTATGTATACACGATGATTTTGTTTGTTATAGTTTACAAAAAAAAAAAAGCTAGCCGAATAATTGATCTAGCCCTTACAAAGGCCATGCTAAGGTGATGCAAATACACCTATATATACATATATATGATTAAAGATCGAAAAGACTGAATGATATTCCAAACCAAGAGACCAAAGTCTCCACAAAAATAAAACAAGAACTGAAGTCCATTTTAAATACAATACAATATACTTTTAGTTTTCAAATATTACATGCTCGAAATTACTTAAAGCTTTTTCGAACGAATTTAAAATGAATAAATTTATACCTAGAACTGATCGAATACGGTCACGTTCACGTGCAATTGGGGCAATAATGCCCCCAGTAACATGAATTGCAAAAATAAATGATACACAGTAATAAGAGAAGATATCAGTGAATCCAAGCCAAAATCCAAATATCAACTGAAATGTTAAGAGATCGGACCAAGAGAACCGTTTGTTAATGACTTATATATTTTATTTTATACATATATAGAAATCAGATCAGATACCAACATTTATTTCACGTTTTTATGTCAAATGATTTGATTTAATTTATTCTATTATTTGTTTAATTTTTATTTGATTTTCAATAAAAGCGTTAACAAAAATGCCAGAATATAATGCAATTAAATGCAAATTTTTAATGATTTTTTTTCAGCAAAGTACAAAGTAATGAAAAGGCTGAATAAAAATACCACAAAAGCCGAATGGAACCAAATATTTCAGCGATCTGTGGAACCCTATATAATTTAATAAGATTATACAAAATATATACATCAATGAGTATGCAAGAACTAACCAGGAAATTTCATTAATTTTAGTACCCTAAGTACTATCATGTGTCGCGAATTTCGTCCATAAAAAATTATATTTTTTTTTAATTTTTGAGTTCGTAATAAAGAGGCGGAACTAAAATATATTAAAAGATACGAATAATAATAAATCGATAGGTTTGCTTAAGCAATTAAGGAAATTTCAGTAGCCTTTGAATGTGTACCTGGTGTCGCGAATTTTATCTATACACAGCACCTAAATATTATCCATTTTTTTTTTTAATTATTTGACCAATTTTTAATGACTTTTGAGTTGAGATAAATTAATTAAATGGATAAAAAAATATATATAATGATACAAAAAGGAATAAAAAGAATGAATCAAAATACTATAACCGAATGGAGTTAAAATATTCGTGAAATTTTGAGCCCTTATTTTATTTTAATGAGATTATAAAAAATATATATACATCTTTGCGGTTGCTAGAGCTAACAAGGAACTGACAGTAAACTTTGAAAGTGTACCCATGAGTCGAGGATTCCGTCCAAAAAATATTTCAATAAATTTGAATTTTGAGTTCAGTACAAATATAATTATGCGTGAAACGTACCATAAAAAATCAATAAAATTTTAAAAAACATAACATACTGTTACGTTTTTATTATGCGTTAGTAGATGGAGAGTTTATTTACTAATAAGGACTATTTTAGTGACTATTTTTCGATGTACCATCGAAGAACACATGTGGCTTCCAAAAGTTGAGAAATTTATCTCTTTTTTGGCAGTATCCCCTCGATTTGAGATCTCCGTGGGATGTCAGAGAGAAGTCGTTGCAAAGTCTGACTGAAGGGATAAAAACTATGATTATGCATTTGAAAAAAATATATTATTATATATATATTATTATAGTTTATTGGGGGCCTAAACGTACAAGAGTTCGAGCTGTTGAAAAAAAAAAGCTAATATTTTCACAAAATAAAGCAGAGAATTTCACAGACACTAGTCAAATAATTGGCATTATAAGCATAAGCAGTCACAATGATTCAATGAATATTTCACTATTTTTCCCATTGTGTGACTTTTATTTATCTATTGGATCTATAGACAGTGTCTATTAGACATAGTAAATAACTTCCAAACTTCAGATAGATCCCGACAATAATCCCTTCAAAAGAAACCAGTTTCAATGGCATTTTGTCATGCATTTCACATATTGAGAGGAAAACTTGTCTTTATTGAACAAACCAATTGTGGAATTACATTGTTGATTGATATTTAATAATAGTGCTTCATGCTAGGGAAATATTTGTGAGATATTTTTGTAACTGTAACAAGAGTACGTATTATACCTTGCCATTTGTATTATCATATCAATAAATATCATTCGAAGAAGAAACAAAACAAAAGAATGAAGAAAAAAGAAAACTTTAAATAAATAAAAAAAATATCAACTTTCGATAGAACGTTTTCGGGGGTCTTTGAGTATGTATGTACAAATATATATGTGTGTGTTTTATGTGCAAGTTTCTAGAGACATTGGATACATCGATTTTCGCTATTTAATGAACTAGAGAGCTTCCAATTGAATAAGTTTCGTGTTGGCATTGATTACATTTACATAACTATGCTGGAGACGCCGAAAATAAATGTTGTGCTCTGTGAACAGAAACGCTTTTTGCCGCTCGCTCGTTTGTGGTCAAGGTCCTGCTGTGTCCGTGGGTCCGTTCTGGTTGGAGGTCGAGGTCAAGGTTGGTACTGGGGCTGCGTTGAAATTTGCCGGCGGCTTCATTCTCCTAACGACGCTTGCCAAAACGCAGGAAAACGTGATCCACATCCGTGCGTTTGTTGTAGTTCTTCATCAGATCGTCAGAGTTAGCCACCAGAGCTACAGTATAATAAAATAGAACGATAGTACGATTTGTACTGCACCAAAAAGAAACCTTCTGCTTACCCGAGGCCTCGTTGTTGATGTACGACTTGAGGGCCGTTGTCAGCTGGTCGGAGTTCTCCAGAGCCATGCACACCTTTCGGATGTGCTGGGGCATCTCTTCCACAATGCCAGCCTGGCACAGGGGCGGGCCCTGGGTGGCTGCTTGGGTGTTGGCCACAGTCGCCAGAACAATGGCCAGGCAGCAGGCGACGAAGAACTGTGCGATGGACATGCTGCAACAGAGAAGACGGCTTAGAAATGTGCAATAGATTGCGATTGACATCCCTGGCCGATTAACAGGAGAGCAAGGACACAATACGAGGTATATCCTGGCTCGAGGGCAAACAGTCCCCATCCTACCATCCATCCAACCCCAACTAATTTTGATTAAGTGTAATGATCTTAACGCTACGTGCCTGATTGCCAACCGCTCTCGCACCCGTACGCGTTGCCAGGACGATGTCTTATGCGCAGCGGAATGATGCCCGACTGCAAGCTCGCGGCTCTAATGTCTATTCCTCCCCCCCGAATACAATTTAAATCCCCCTCGAAGGAACGAGCCCAGCCCTAATGCTCCTGTAATACATTTACGCGGCAGACAATTTGTTTCCATTATCCCAACAATATGTTTCCCCGAATGGAGGGGCCCATCAGTGATGATGATGCCGATGAGATGCTGGGAAGCGCACTCATACGCACCGTGTGACGGAGAGCAGCAGCGGTGCAAGTGGACAAACACCTGTATGCCTGTGGCACATATGAACGTGTGGCCCGTGCAGCTGCTTAGCTTAGAGGCGAATGCCCAGCCGAAGGCTGCAAATGTGTGGGTGCAAGTGGGCCTTGATGGAGAATTACAGGAAGATGCGCCCCTGGGCACGTTCCCAGGCTCTGTCGCTTGTTTAGGGTTTTCGATGGCTCAACTAATGTGCAGTGCATGCAGAAACAGTGTTTTGGCTCAGTCTTCGTCAGCTGGGGCCTGCTCGAGCATGGAAAAGGGGTTGAGTAGGAATATATGGAATATTTTATGCTATAGTTTTAAAAGGATTTTCTACAATATACTCAAAAGAAAATACAGCTTTAAATTATTATAAATATATGCAATTAAAAATGTATATATTTCGTTGATTTCGTTCATATTAAGTTGTATTTTGCAATTTTGAAATTATATATTTTTACTCTTGACTATGCCATAAATATTAAAATCCAACTGAAATAAATATTTTCTTGGTGTTCACATATGTTAAAAATTTTAATTTGGATCTTGGGATCCACTAAAAAGTCGAAATAAAATTCTTTCTACTATAAAAAGAGAAATTAATTAAATATTTCTAATATTTAGATGTCAGAAATTAATATATGATAAGTACATCTATTCGGGTACTAGTATGGGTGCTTTGTGGCCTAAATTGTAACTCCATTTCATGCTCCAAAGTCAGAGTTTTGATAGGTAATAAATTGAATCATTAAGAGTTCCTATTTCAAAATTATTTTCAACTGTTTGGAAACATCTGAAGACGCAGGTATTCTTTGTAAACAATTTAAACAGGTTAAAATAAATGCTCATCTATTATGGTTCATCATCAGACAATGAAAAATAAGTCAATAAAACTCTATAATTTTTTCACTTTAAAATCTAAAAACTATCTCCAAAATTTTTAAGGCTCTCAAACTGTACAAATTTCACGGACATATAGTTCTAATCATCACTTCACTGTGCACAAAATGGGATGCTAATACGAACCTGATAATACTTAGTGGTTGATATATGAGGGCTTTCGAAGAGAGAAATTCGAAGACAAACAAACTAGATGTAGTTTATTTAACGCGTTTGTCACTGGATGCGGGCTGCTCTGCTGCTCTCCTTGTGGCTGGACTTGTTGAACGCAAGCACTCGAATGATGGTCTATCGGGACAGGACATCCGCTTTTATTTACTTCCGCTGCGGCGGAATCCTCGACTGCCATTGGCTGGCACACACACACACATACACACAGTCACACGCCCAGGGACGGGGGTAGGGTGTGATGCCACATGTTGCGCTGCTGCCAGGATGCTGCTGCCTGCTTAGTGGGCGTGCTCAAATATTACCCATACGCCACGGACACCGACCAAAGCACGATGCGCCGCCATTGTGTGTACTTAACAAAACTTTCCGACCAGAGAACGCACGGCACCCGGACCCACTCGAGGCACGGGAACGGGCCACTGCAGTGGCCCAATATGTTTATCTATTTTATAACTTTATCAGCTCTCTTAATTATGTTGTAAAAGCTGCTGATATTTTATGATCAGTGTTGTCAGCCACCGTCACAAGCCGCCCCCAATATTTATAGGTAGTTATGGCGATTAATGTACTCGTAAATGGCCCATTGCAATGGCAGGACTCCACGCGACGCGACGCCCTTTAAGAAGCCACTTTAAAGTTTTGCCGCTGCTCGCTGCTGCTGCACTTCAGGTGCTCGGATGCTCTGCAGATGCGTAAGCAATGTAAGTAATCTTCCGTTTATGATGCTGGGATTTGCAGGCGAAGCGCTGCAATTAATTTTATCCAGTCCGTGTTTCGCATGCTAAGCATTCATCCATCCATTCATCCATTTGTAGGGGAACATTTTCGACTGTGACGTCAGACATCCACACTCCAGCCACGTAATGCAGTGGGAACTGCCAAAAAGTAACAAAATGCTAACCAAATTGCTTGTCTGTGATGTTGAAGGTATTTAGGATGCAACATTTAGGATGGTTGTGGCATCGATTGGTATCTAGTTACGCCTGTGCACTAGAGCCTCAGAATAGACTTTAACAGGGATATATCCTGATCAAAACGCTCAACGTCGATATTCCGAAAATTATACGGAGTATACGGATATTTGTCAAGGAATTATTATCATCATCATTAAAGTGCGCACACTGGGGAGGTTCTGTGAGGCCCAAATGGGATCATAATTAAATCAATATCGAGCGGCTCTGAGCGACTGTCTCAAGGGAGGCTCATTTACAGCTTCACTAAGCCCATTTACTGAAGACCCCTTAGCAGTACAAACGAAATGTGGAGGCTACGGTGAAAGAAGCTCCGTTTAATCCAAATATAAATGTGGCTGGCCAACGCGGAACAGTGCCAATTCCAGAGATATCTGAAGAGTCCTGCAGTCCATTTAACATGTGGCATAATCGAATAAAAGTATGCGTATGTTTGCCTCTTCCATTCTCTTTGGTTAGTGCAACATATTGTGGCTGATGCCCGCCCACACCATGCTGCCGCACTAATTGGGTTACAGTGCGCTGTCATCTGTCATGTTCCGAGAGCCAGCAAACATCAGACCAGACCAGACCGCATAATGCAATGGCAAATGCCATATGTGCTGGCTGAGGAGAGTAGTGGTAGTGGTAGTGGAGGGGAGGGGCGGGGCAGGGCCAGTGAAGGGCAACAATCAACAAGCAACAATGTCAGCTCGAAATTTGCACAAAATTTGAATAAACTGATTGGGTGGGCTTCAAAGTGGTGCGAACGAGTATGCGAAATAGTGCGTCAAAAGTGCAAAAGGGAAGGGAAGCGATTGATCGGAGGGGTTAGGCCATACGATTACCATTTAAATTACAATATTCTCCCACTGGCACGGCCTACCTACGCCGTGTAATCGATGGAGCAGCACTTAGAAATTGGTTTTAAGTTTTATTATTTTGTTCATGGGAGTTGTGTAGATGGCTACGACGATTATGTGCATTCAGTCGAGCAGCTTGGCCACAATGGGATCGGGGGCGGACATCGCATAGCCCAGCTGCTGCAGGGCACGCCGTATCTCGATGAAGACGCTCGCATCGTCGATTGTGGCCGGCAGGATCACACGCTCATTGCGTGCAAAATCCGCCATGGCCTTGCGCATCGTCTTGCCGGAGCGGGTGCGTGGCAGATTGTTCACCGCGGTGATCAGCCGAAAGGCGGCAATGGGCCCCACCACATCGCGAATCAGCTTAATGATCTCCGTCGAGAGTTTGGCGTCCGTTTTTCGGCAATTATCGACGGGTATGTACAGGCAGAGCGGCACCTGGCCCTTGGTCGGCTCGGGCACACCAAAAACGGCCACATCGACCACATCGGGATGCCGGAGTACGGCATCCTCCAAACTGGAGGTGGACAAACGATGTCCGGCCACATTGATGACATCATCGTCGCGTGCCGTCACGAATATGTAGCCACGTTCATCCTTGTAGCCAGCATCCATGGTGTCGTAGTAGCCCTACAAGGGGGGGAGTTTTAATCCTAGTGTGGGAGCGATCGACTGGGAAAAACTCACTGGAAACTTTTGAAAGTACAACTTGCGGAAGAGCTCCTCGTTCTTGTAGAGCGTGGCCATGTTGCCCGGCGGCAGGGGCTGCTTCAGCACAATTCTGCCCAGCTCCGAGGGTTCACACTCGCTGCCATCGGGCTTGAGGATTTTGACTGCAAGAGGTGCGCAGTAGAAATATAAATACTAGCAGCAGCTTGGGGTAGGTAGCCCGCTCTTACCATCATAGCCCATCAGGGGCATGCCCGTGGAGTAGGTGGGCGGACTGAGACTCTGTTGATAGCCCAGACAGGTGGCCGTCACCGCCGAGCCCGTCTCCGTCTGCCACCAGTGGTTCAGCACCGGCACCTTGAAGGTATTTTCGATCCACGTTTTGGTCTCATAGTCGCAGTGCTCGCCGGCAATGAAAATGGCACGCAGCGATTTCATAGAGTACTGCCGACCATAGCTGATGTCCGGATCGGCGCGACGTATCACCCGGAAGGAGGTGGGCACCGAAAAGATCGCACGCACCTTGTACTGATCGATGATCCTGCAAATAAGAGAGAGAGAGTGGAGGGAGAATCAACCACACCGGAGCACACCCGACACTCACCTGAAGTACTGGCCCGGATCTGGGGTGCGATCCGGTTTGCCCTCGTACATGACGCTGGTGGCGCCCAGGCACAGGGGACCATAGCAAATGTACGAATGACCCACCACCCAGCCCATATCGGAGGCGGCCCACCAAGTGTCGCCCGGCCCAATGCCGTAGATGCGCTTCAGCGTGTACATCAGGGCCACCAGATGGCCGCCAATGGTGCGGAGCACACCCTTTGGCTTGTCGGTGGTGCCCGAGGTGTAAAGGATGTACAGCGGATCGTTGGCCTCGATGGGCACACAGGCAATCGGTTGGCTGGCATCGGCCATGGCCAGCACATCGGACCAGAGCACATCCGCGCCTTCGTCCACAGTGTCCACGGAGACGTTCTCCCGCATGAAGATGATGTTGCGCTGGGGCGGACGCCAGCGCGACATGTTGATGGCCGAGTGGAGGATGTCCAGATAGGGTACAACCTTGCCCGGCTCCACGCCCACATTCGAGGCAATCACCAGCTTCGGTTCCACATGCTCGATCCGTGAGCAGAGCTCGCGGGCGGCAAAGCCGCCAAAGACCACCGAATGAACGGCGCCCAAGCGAACGATGGCCAGCATGGCAATGATCGTTTCGGGTATCAGCGGCATGTAGATCACCACACGATCCCCCTTGACCACGCCCATTTTGGACAGGCCACCGGCGAGGAGGATGATCTGGTCATAGAGCTCCTGGTAGGTGACGCGACGCACCGTTCCCGTCAGTGGGCTGTCATGGATGAGGGCCACCTTCTCGCCCCTGCCGGCCAGAATGTGCCGATCGATGGCATTGTAGCAGGCATTCAGATAGCCACCCACATACCACTTGGTGAAGGGTGGATTGCTGTTGTCCAGCACCTGCTGCCAGGGCCGGTCCCAGTCCAACAGGTGTCCCTGCTCCTCCCAGAAGGCCGCCGGATTCTGAATACTCTGACGATAGGCCTCCAAATAAATGGGATCGTGTGCCTCGATGGGCATGCCGCCAATAGAGGCACCTGTACAGTAGAGACGAAAGACGGGAAAGATGGGCCATTAGTAAGACGTTGTCGGGGGGGTTCATTGTCCTGCCTGCGTCCAAGCTGAAGGTGTTCGATGTTCTGCTTCTTGGGCTGCATACTAAGTTGGTGCATAAATTTAGGCGCCTAAACTAATTTACACCATTTTTTTACACCTTACACAACGCACGCCATTGAGCCGAATCGAATTATAAATTAGAAAAAAAATCACTCAACTGATTGCTATATACTCGTACTACTCGCAGTCGTACATAGTACGAGTATATAGCCAGCCAGCCAGACATAGTAGACAGACACACGGAACATAATCCATCACACGTCATTGTCGTCGGGCTTGAACCTGAAGCTTGGACTCCTCTAAGTCTCCTCCTGCGTGCTGTTGCATAAGCTAATGAGCCGTAGAATTGAACTCCAATCAATTATATCGTTCAGTGGGAATTTGCGCATCGAATCGAAAGTTTTTATATACTTGAGTATACGCATATATATATATATAAATACATATGTATATGTAGCACAGTTTAAAACTTATTTACGCATCGAATCGAAGGTTTTTTTTATTTGAACAGTGTTAAAGGTTATGTGTCCCTTCTGCAATTAATTAACCAATTAAATATAATTCTATTCCAACACAGTTTTGAATTTATAGAACGAGGGGGGGTCAGATAATCTCACGCTTCTTTCCACCATTTGGGATATAACTTACTGCCTTCGTAATTCACATAATTCACTGCACTTGCACCTGGTTCCATATTAGATATATATTATCTGTCTCTCTTTTTAATTATTAGAAGAGTTTTAGAGGTTTTGCAGGGCTATGTAAGAAGTATATCCTATATGATGTATCCGTTCAAGCCAGCTGAAAACAGAACACAACCGTCGCACTGTAGTCGAGACCTTGCAATGGAACTGCTAAATGTAGAACGACAAGTAGACAGTTGCCAGAACCTTTAAGAATTAGTCGTCGATCAAAGGTGCTTTTTGGAAATTCTCAGCAAATACCCATCGAGCGACAGACAGAGAGAGACAGAGAGAGAGAACTGGAACGATGATATGACGGAACATTTAAAAAAAAGAGGCGCAAAGAGGACATTGACGTGCAACACTCGTAAGCAATATTAAAAATATTTTTACTAATTAGGGGAGAGCTATGTTAGGATTAGCAGGTACTTTAAGAAGCAGAAGGAATTATTGTTTGTTATAAGATGGTACTAGGAATTATAATTTAAGCATACGGAAAAACTAAACACTCGAAAATAAATTACATAGCACGAGACAAAAACGAGAAGGAACGTGTGAGTCGCTTCTGGGTACGCGACTCTACTTATACGCGTACTCAGTCAGTATATACATTTTTGTGCTTATGATTTTTTAGAGCTAAAAAAAAAAATGGAGATTATACATGTACCATTTAGATTCTACATCAACTCCGGTAGAGAGCGCTCGCGTACAACCGCGGCATAGTGTGAGAGCGAGAAAGAGAATGAGTAGCAGGAGAGGGCGGGGGAAACAACTGAAAATTAATTTCTTCATTCTGGCTATAATTATGATCCATGGAACCTCATACCTATAACTTACAATTTAACCACACCAAATTTCTTTCTTAAAAACTAAAAAAACGCAAACGTGCTGCACTTTCTTAATTTATACGCAAAATTATCTGCAGCGCAGATACTCATAAAAAAGAATGCGTTGGTAAGAAATTTATATCACCTTGCACAGGATTTTTGAATTGTGGTGATTGAATGGAAATAACTGAAAATACAGCGAATAATTATTCGAGGGTACAAAGAGGAAGGCATCATGATGTAAAGTTTCTACTGGAACATACTGCAGGCATTTACTACAATGAAGTGATAAAAGAACAGATGATAACTTTGCTGAGGACGAGTAGCACATAAAGAAATTGTAACTAATGAACTAATAAACGATTTATGGATATAATATTGAACAGAGTCAGATTAATAATTCATAAAAAATAAGCCTTTCTGCCGTATACACAAAATAGTAATGTAATTTAATATTTTTTTATCAGCTTAACTTAGTTACAAAAAGAAAGTGTAGAATGAATAAGAATATGAGTGCCTCTTAGTTCTTCTTTTTATTATCCTTCTTGGTCTTTTTTGCGGGTGGATTATCCGCATCTGTAGTTGGCTCCACACTGAATCCCTTGATGTAGGGCTTGACCAGTCGAAAGACCAACTTCTCGTGCTGCACATTGGACGAATCCAGACTCAAACGTACAGTGACTGGATCAAAGGAATGGAAAACCACATTGCCGCACCGCTGCGTGTGATCCTCCTCATTGAATGTGAATATGATCTCGCTCTTGGTGCGCTCCACGCCATCCTTGCCGTCTTTGTCGGTCTTCAAATACAAAGTGCCCTCGAGGCCGTACTTGGGTATGAGCACTTGCAGGGCATTCTTTCGCACGAACAGGACATAGCTAAAGGGAACAGAAGTGTGAACAGGGTTGCAAATGGATTCTATGGGTATAAGGACATACGCTTCTTCGTCCTCCTCCTTGCCGCGGAAAAATAGATGCGTGTTGAGACCCACTGAGGCGCGTCCCGCATACTGAGCCATCTTATGACGATAGTTGAGGTTGTGGCACAGCTCCTCATTCGATTTGCGCTCCAGCAGCTGGGCATATGTGCTGTCGGCCCCAATCGAAGCGGCCAGCAGCCGATGCACCATTATGTCCGAGTACCGGCGAATGGGCGATGTGAAATGTGTGTAAATGGGCGCGGCCAGGCCGTAATGGAAGAACTCCTCCTTCTGCAGGCTGCCGCTGATGAAGTAAACTGCCTGCATCATGCAGCGAGTGGTTAAAATGCGAATCATCGTATTGAAATATGGATTGTCCTCCTTCACGCACTTGTCCAGCGAGTGTGACAGCACGAGGCCCGACTCTATGTCCACCTGGAAGCCCTGATAGCGGGCAGCCTTAACCAGCGGATCAAAATTGGTGGCCGGTGGCTTGGGATGGCGACGCAGGACAGCGCATTCAGTGAACTCGGAGGCAATGTGCTCCGCCACTGTGATATTGGCCAGCAACATGAATTCCTCTACCATGGAGTTGGTTTCGCGCATCTGCTTGGCCTCCACCTCGAGCGGCTCATGCGTTTCGCTGTCCACCTGAAAACGAATCTCAGGTGAGGCCAGAACCAGGGCACTAAAAAATATAAATTATAATAGAATGGAATATAAATTGCTGTAATTTTCTGTCCATTACCCATTATCCATGCGTCGCTTCTTGAGGATCTTGGCCAGACGATTCAGATGCCTTAGAGATTTGGCAATTTCATTTTGCTGTGTCTCATCATCGATCAGTACCTGCGCCTCCTCGTATGTCATGGCTCGCTTCGACTTGATCACGCTCTTGTGGAAGCGTTTGTCAATCACATTCGCCTCCTTGTCCACCTCCCACACACAGGAGAAGGCAAAACGCTCGACGCCGCCCACCAGCGAGCACAGATTGGAGCTAAGCAACTCGGGCACCATGTCTATGCGCTTGCCCACCAAATACACGGTGGTGCCGCGGGCAGCAGCCTCCTGGTCCATGGCATTACCGGGCCGAATAAAGTGACTGACATCGGCTATGTGGACGCCCACCTCGAAATTGCCATTGGGCAGCTCGCGACAATGGAGAGCATCATCGATGTCCGTGCAGCCGGGCGGATCCACCGAACAAATGTACAGATCACGCAGATCCACACGCTTGGCATAGTCCTCCGCGGTGATGGACCAGGGCATTTTTGGCAGAAAGCTGAGCACTTCCTCCGAGAACTTGCAGTGGGGGACATCGTGCTCCAGCAGTATCACCTCATTCTCAGTGGCCATGTCCCCGAGCGGTCCCAGAGAGCGCACAAAGTGCCCCTGCGGATAGCGCGAGTTCCGGGGCCACGTATCGATCGTCACAATGATACGCTGATTCTGCAGTTTGGCCGCCTGACGCGTCTCTATGCGGATGCGTGGAATCTTGCGATCGGCGGGCACAAAAATATGACGATTCGTGTTCTCAATCAGGCTGGGCTGCAAGATGCCACAGTATTGCCGCCACTTGCGGCGCACGATGCCCACAATCCGGCCAGTGGGAATGCGCTCTGCGGAGGCGGCAGCGGCCGCTTGCTGGACTTGCTGCAGCATGTCCTTCTCCTCCTCGGCACGCTCCTCGCTGGGCACATCGTCAGCGTAGACGTTCTTCTCCTCCAGTACAATCTCACTGGGCGCCGACCACTCGCTTTCCGGCAGAAGTTCCACCGCCACCAAGTCGCCATCCACCGCACGGTTAAGAAACTCTCGGCCTTGAATTAGAATCTTTTGAAAGAGAAATGCAAATTAGACAAAGTTATTAGCAAAAAGTTATAGTCTGGAAACCTACGCCCTTCTCGTACGTCTCCACATTGACGCTGCCTTCGAGGTAGTTCTCTCTGGAGGCCTGGAAGGCTCCCTGCAACAGCTTTTTCAGGCGCAGACCTTCGAGCACCTGCTTCATGCTCAAATGGGCTGGATACTGCGGCAATGCTTGCTTCTCGTTGTCGAACGTTTTGTGCGACAATTTGTCCACCAGCAGGGGGAATTCCTCCAGAGATTTCACATACTCACTGGCTGTGGCAACCAAAATACCTTCTGCCTCCGCTTTGGCGCGATTACCGGCATCGTCGGTGATCAGGACAACACGAGTATTGGCCCTGCCGCTTCGCTCAAACTCCTTGGACGACTGCGATGTCTCCAGATGGGTGTCATACCACTTGGTGGCCATCCGAATGGCGCGATCATTGCGATCGTTGGCAGTTTCACCCGGATCCCGATCGGCATACGTGTCCCTGCAATAAAACGTTTGTACTATCTATCTTTAGGGCTCCCTCGTGGCGTGGGCTTCCACTTACTTGTGATGCTCATTAACGAAAACATAGAAATTCCTGGTGCGATCGTGAATGATCTCGTTGAAGCGCTTGTAGATGGACGAGCTTTTGTGCTTCACCTCGTTCAGCACTGTGGTCAGCACAATCACATTGTGCAACACGTCCTCCTCCAGCACATCGATCTGATCGAGCACCACATTGGTGTCCAACACCAGGTAGTGGGGAAACTTGAAGAGGCTGCTGGCGATCTCATGCTGCGACGTCAACTGATAAACCTCGTTTTGAAAGCAATATTTGCACAGATCCGAGCCGCAGCCGATGTCATCACGCAGGTAATGCTCTCGTACAATCTTCAGGATGTTTCCACGCTTAGTTTTACGCGTAAATTCACGTAAAGTCTGCATTTTTACAAAATTTCAACATGTGGGCCGGTGCCGGCAGTGTGACCGCAGATGTATCAATAAAAGATACCCGTCTGACGATCAAAAATATACCATCTCGTTTTCATCATGTACATGTACTTATTATTATATCCGATTGATGAATCAATTTTCTACAATCTGGCTTATTTAAGGGACTCCCATTTATTGGATTACTTATAAAATTGGGTTTAAACAAAGAAGGTACTTATTTTACATGGTAACTAGCAGGTGGAACAATGTCGCGCGCGTCATTGTGTTTGACTTTGCGTATTTTGCAGCACTTATTCCGCGCAAAGCAATTTTTGAATATATTTCTAATAACACAATAAATCCACTAAATACATAAGTTTAATTATTCAAATTGTGGATTTTATTGATTAATATTTAGTTTTTTTTTATAAGATTATTATATATTTAAAAGGAGGCCGCTTTTCATGCAGCAACAGTTTCCTACCACTTTGTCTTTGACGTTTCGCAGCACTGTTCCAGCAACGACGCACGTGTGTAGAAGGGAGGGCACGTTGATGTTTAATTTTTGATTTTAAAAGCAATAAAATTAAGTTTTAACAATGGTTCCTACTGAAAAAAGTTTCCCGCGTGGCGGCATAATCCATGCAGAGGCCAAATCAGCAAACGCAAATATTGTAGGCTTGCGCAGCAACAGTTTTTCCGTTCAGTTTGTACATTTTCCCCCCTGTTTTTTCAGATTTTTGGTGCGACACAGAAGAAGGCTAAAAAGGGACAGCAAACCAAGGCAAAGGATAGCTTCCTGAAGGAGCTCACCGAAGAATACAATGATCAGCTGGAATCGGCATCCGCGGAAACGCTCAGGCTGGACACCCTACAGGAGGATATGCTGGTAATGGGTGTAGTCAAGGAAGCCAACGCCACTACTCTGCAGATCGCCATACCTGGCCGAATGACAGCCCGTACCCAGGTGATGGATATATCGGAGGCATACACACGCGTAGCTAAGTCAGCAATGGCTGGCGAGACGAGTGACTATCACGACCTGATGGAGCTCTTCCCAGTGGGCAGCATTGTGTATGGCAAAGCCATCAAAACAGAAAAACCTGGCAGCAATCGACCCTCCGTGCTGTTGTCCCTCAAGCCAGCCGATGTCCATGACAGGCTGCACCACAAGAACATCAAGAAGGGATTTGTCTTCTCCGGTGCCATATCCGAGGCCCTGGAGCATGGCTATGTGATTGAAACGGGCATCCAGGGCCTGACCGCCTTCGTGGCCTGTGAATCGGCGGAGCAAACGTTGCATGTGGGACAATTGGCGTTCCTCAAAGTGAAGCAAGTGAAACACGATGCCAGCACTAGCAGCTGCACCTGCGTCCATGTGACGCAAGACGCCTTGAAGATCAAGAGCCAAAATGAATCGAATCTGGACTACATTCTGCCCGGCAGCATAGTCAGATTTAAGGTGTCCAAGCAGCTGAAGGATGGCCTCAAGGGCAGCATCATGAACGAATCATTCACCGCCTACGTAAACGAACATCATCTATCCAATGGCCTGGAGACGCCCGAGGACTACGAACTGAACGAGGAGTACAGTGCCCGTGTGCTGTATGTCATGCCGCTGACTAAGCTTGTCTACTTGACGCTCAATTTGGACATCAAGCAGAGAGCAGAAGACGAGGATGAGCAGGAGCCGGCGGAGCCGCTGAAGAAAGGCTCCATCGTGGAGAAGGCCAAAGTGCTGCGCTTGGGCAGTGGTGGTGTGGTGCTGCTGCTCAATAAAAAGCTAAAGGGCATCCTTTCCTATAGCTCCATCAAGGCCAACTTCAAGGGTAACTACGACAAGGACGAGGTGCTGTCCAAATACGGTCGCAAAACCAAGCACAAAGTACGCGTTCTCGGCTACGATATGTTCGAATCATCATACTACTGCTCCGACGATCCCAATCTGGTCAATGAGAAGCTCTACAGCCTGGAAGATCTCAACCCGGGGGACATTGTCACCGCCAAAATGATCAAAAAGGATGAGAAGATCAACGGCTGGACGGTGAAGATTGGCCGGCTGAATGGCATCATTGATCAGCTCTACCTGGCCAACAATCTGCGCTACGAGGTGGGCCAACGGTTGCGCTGTCGCGTCCTCGACATCAGCGTGGATCGGCAGATGTGCTATCTGAGCAATCGCAGCGAATACCTGCGAAAGGATGCCAAACTGTTGACCAATCTGTCGGCTGCCCAAGAAGGTGGCGTCTACCTGGGCACCGTTGTCCGCTGTGAGCCCGGCTATATCCTGGTAAAATTCGGTGATGGCATCAAGGGTGTCCTCCATCGCCAGAATCTAAGTGAGAAGAGTTCGCTGTCCTTTTTTGAGGGCCAAACCACAACGTTTCGGATACTCAGTCGCAACAAGGATCAAATCACGCTGACCCTGCCCGAGGATAAGTTCCAGCTGGGCGAAATCTGTCCAGTGGAGATAACCAATGCCCTGGATTCAGGTCTCGAGATGAAAATCACCTACCCCGCCGATGAGGATGAGGATGAAGATGCAGACACAGACGCAAACGATGAGGAAGCAGAGCCCAAGGTAGAAGAATTTCTGGGTCTCATTCCATCCAGTCTGCTGTCGGATCACGTGGAACTGATTGCCGCCCAGAAGCGTATCCATCCGGTGGGCTCGCACACGGAGGCCGCTTGCATTGGCCAGAACATTTTCAGTCTGCGCGATGTGCCCTATTTTAGTGGCCAGCTGACCACCGACTGGAAGACCGTCCAAGTGGGTGACATAGTGCGGGCGTATGTGAAAAATGTGTCCACCGATCAGGTGGTGGATCTTATGGTGGCCATACGCGACTACAACAAGGTGGTCAAAGTGCACGTTAAGATGCTGCGCCTGAATGCCGTGCGGGCACTGCCCGTTGATCTCTCGCCCGATCAGCTGCTATACGTCAAGATTCTCAGCAAATCTGTGGAGACCAAGACGCTCACAGTCTCCGCTAAACTCACGGATGTGTGGAGCGGTGATCTGAGCGACACGGCCAAGCTGGTGGAGAGGTAAAAGAGCCGTCAAAAACCCAACCCCATGAATGATTCTTTATAGTAATTTTGTATTTCCCTTGCAGCTACTTCGATGAATTGCTGCAGATTAAGTCTGTGCTGAAGGAGAAGTCCGCACCCATTGGCAAATTCACTTTGGGGGCAACCATCAGCGTGGTATTCAAGGGCATTGATCCAGTGTCCAACGATTGGTTGTATACCGTAGAGGGCTGTCCGAAGGTGAAGGCTCTGCTGGTCTCCAGTTTGGCTCCGGCAGGCAACGCCGTCACCCCTCAGGTGGGCAGCAAGCAGCCCGCTGTTATCCTGTGGATCGATTATGCCGAGGATCTGCTGCTTGTCAGCACCAAGAAGATGGATATTGAGCACATCAACACCGAATGGCTGATACCCAGCAATCTCATTGGCAAGACGGGCATGAAGGCAAAGGTTCTGCTGAAACTGGACACCGTTATCGTCTGCTCACTGAAGAAGGGCAGCAATCCGCTGGTCATCTGTCCCGTGCGACTGCATGCCAACGATGTGGAGAACTCGGGCAGTGCGGGTCTGCGGCCCGGAGATTTCTGCAACATTGGATTCATACACGAAGAGCTGCCCATCGCTGTGCCGGAGACGGTCTGGCGATTATGGAAGGCCACAAAGCGACCGGCAGCGACAGCAGAAGAACCCCTGGGTCCAGTTAAGGCTAAGAAGGCCAAGCTTGAGGCAGTGGCAGAGGCAGCTCCAGTCAAGACCAAGAAGACCAAGGCCAAAGCAGAGCCAACGCCCACAAAGCGAAAGGCGGAAGAGGCAGTACAGCCAACCAATGGACAGAAGAAGAGTCAGCCACTGACAAATGGCATCGCGAAGGAGACACCAACTAAAAAGCAGAATGGCAAATTCTTTGAGGACAAATTACCAGCCAAGAGTGCAAAGGCAAATGCCGAGGCAGCCAAGGGCAATGCCATACAGAATGAGGCGGCAAAGGCACGCATGCCAGGCGTTGCCAATTTCTGGGAGAGCGATTTGGGCCAGACGAAAGATGCGTCCAGCGACGAGGAGGATGCTGAGCCAACAGCTGCCGAAACTCAAACGAACGCCAACAAAAAGAAACGTCTCAGTGCCAAGGAGAAAGCCAAAGCGGAAGTCAAGGAAGAGCAGCGACTGCGGGAGATAGAGGAACGCAATGCCGATCCCCAGGCACGTCTGGAGACCATCGATCAGTACGAACGACTGGTGATTGCGCAGCCAAACAACAGCATGTCCTGGCTGAAGTACATTTCGTTCCTTCTGTCGAACACGGAGATTGAGAAGGCACGCGATCTGGCCAGAAGAGCCATCGCAACGATTTCGTTCCGCGAACCGCAGGAACTGAGAAACATTTGGAGTGCCCTGCTCAACATGGAGCTCGCCTATGGCAACAACTTTGATGAGGTGCTCAAGGAGGCGCTGCAGAGCAATGATCCCCTGGAGACGTACATCAGTGTCGTGGACATTCTGAAGAAGAACAATCAGCGCGAGCGCCTCGCCCCAGTGCTTGCCATACTGCTGAAGAAGTTCAAGTCGGAGGCAAAGGTGTGGCGTCTGGTGGCCGAAGGCTACTTCTGGCTGGGCAAATCCGATCAGGTTCATTCGCTGCTGCAACGTGCCCTGCGCTCGCTGCCAAATCTAGAGCGTAAGCATAACCATTTAATCATTTTTGATAGCTATAATTAATCCGCTGCTTGCATCTTGCTTCAATCAGACATCAACTGCATTGTGGCCTATGCCAAGTTGTACGAGAAGAACGATGACAAGGACATGGCGCAGACGCTGCTCGACGACATTGTGACCTCATATCCGAAACGCATTGACATCTGGTCTGTCTACGTGGATATGCTGATCAAAACAGGACAAATTGAGTCGGCGAGGTAAGCTTAACCAAATAGAATTGTAATGTAAACTAGGGAGGTGTTCCGCAGGGCAGTCATTTGTGTCCGCTGCTCTTTTTGAGTTCTATTCCATATATTATCACCTCAAATATATTTCTTAATATGTAATATTTCCTATACTCCCTATAGAAACGTTTTGGATCGTGCTGTGCAGCAGAAGCTGAAGCCCGAGAAGATGCAAGTGATCTACAAAAAGTATCTGGAGCTGGAGAAAGAGCATGGCACCAAGGCGACCGAGGCCAAGGTAATGCAGGAGGCCCAGCAGTGGGTAAAGAACTATGCCAAGGCAATCTAGTTCTAGTCCTACAACCGTAGGATACGTAGATAGATGTTAAGAGATTAAGTGCAAAAACCAACCCCATAAATACAGTGTTTTTTTTTTTGTATGAATACTTTTTATTCTAAAACTATTTTAAATGAAGTGTGTGATTTCCGCGAGTGTGTGCTTATCTGTTTCCGTATGTATATGCATTATGTGTATATATATATATATAGAGATACATATATAAAAAGTATGTCCCTGTGGCACACAACACCCAAAAAACCTACATGCACACGATGTAGTTGTAGCTGCTGCAGACGGGGGGGCAGACATACAGAGAGATAGAGAGAAGCCTGCCACAAGAAATGAATTCATGGGACTTCAAAACAAATCATAGAAAATATTTCTTGCAGTGCATGTAATGGATATCATGAGGATATGAGGATGGTGGTGTGGAGGAGAACTACTACACATTACAACATAATGCTTAAGCTTAAGGTGAGGATGGGGCAGGGGGCAGGGGGAGGATATGCCTATGCCTATGCCTCTGGTTCCATGGACGATTACGTTGACGAAGTGGTTTGACGTGTGGGCTTAAACTCTTACACATTAATCAATAAGGGACAAGGGGGACATGGGATGTGGTTTACCCTCGCATTTGCTGGCTCCTTCTCTTTAATTATATTTAGATTTAATTTATACATAAAACAGTCTGGTGCATATGGTGGTGGTGGACTGATGATGGTCACTCCTTGAAGATGCCACGCGCCTTGGCCGATATTTTGCGCACTCTGCCGCGACTGCTCACACTCACCAGTTGCTCGTCGCTATCGCCAGACATGTCGTCGCCATCCGGCTGATCCTCCTGCTCATCCTCATCTTCCGCTCCGGATTGCTCTTCCGACGTTTGCTCTCCACGCTCCTCCTGTGAGCTGCCGCCATGGGCATCGCCATTGCGCACTCGTTTGCGCTGATTTTGGGCAGAGCGCGGATCGGACAGCTCCTCATCGGACTGCTCATTGTAGCGGGGTCGCTTCTGATTGCGACCACCGCCGCGTTGATTGTTGCTGCCCTGCCGCGTCGCATGGCGGGAGGATCTACTGCGCGGCACCACATAGTCCTCATCATCATCGTCGTTGTCGTTGTCATTCTCGTTCTCATTCTCATGGGCCAAAGCGGGCGGACGACGCGCCGGCGGCGGTCTACGCTGACGCTGCGATGAGCGCTCTTGTGTGGCCGCCGCCGCCGATGAGGAGGAGGTTGATTTAGTCTTGGTCCGGGTACGGCCATTGCTGGGCGACACATAGCTGGTCAATGGCTGATTGTCTTCCGAATCGGTGGCGGAGGCATCCTCATTCTCTTCCTCCTCATCATCATCCTCATTGGTCTGCGAACTGGAACCGCCAACAGTGCCCTCATCCGAGGCAGCTGCATCCTCATCCTCGTCCTCCTCCTGCTCCTCCTCCTCTTCCTCGTCCTGGGAGTTGGCCTGACTCGTGCGTCCGCGTAGACCCCGTCGGGTGACCACATTGCTATGGCTGTTGCTGTTACTGTTGCTATTTGTGGTGGAGGTGGGTCGCCTGTGATTGGCAATGGCTTGGATCAGTCGTGTGCTCTCCAGCGGATCTGTGCTCGTGTCCAGCTCATCGGCATTCCGCTGATGACGTGACAAAATACGTCTCGGTGGTGCCCTAGAGGCGTTCACAGAGCCCAAATAATTATGATCATGTGGGGTCACAGCAGGGCTATCCGCCCGCTGGTTTGCTGTAGCGTTGGACACGGAGGAGGAGCTGGTGGTGGTGGTGGTGGAGGTGGCATGTGAGCGCGTCATATGCGTGCTTCTTTGTGGCAAGGGTGAGGCCATGCGCCGGCGCAATGCCAGCGGATGAGGTGGTGCTGACGCAGCTGGGGCTGTGCTACTTTTTGCGGGTGATTGAGTAGATTCTAGGGATGAAAAGAGAGAGAGAGAGTAAGGGAATGACTGTTAGCTGTGGCTTCATCTTTGGCTTGCTGCTGCTTGATGGCTACTTACTCTGCTGATTGTTGGCCAGCGGCTCGTTATCGCTGTCATCTTCATCATCATCGTCGTCGTCGTCGCTCTGGGCCTGATTGATGGCAGTGTTGCGATTCGTACGCAGCTGGCGAGACGGAGGAGCCGGTCCCACAATACCCAAAGCGGCACGGCTAGTCGATGGCATATCGTCTTTTGTGGGTGTCGGCAGGATCTGAAAGTCCAAAAAAAAAGAAAAAGAGATTTGTGTTTCATCGAATTACACTTCTGGGCAGCCCCCAGACGCACCTCTTCAGCCTCGTCGCTGTCCTCTTCCTCCTCATCCTCCTCCTCCTCTTCTTCTATATCACTGCCGCGACCCCAGTCGAGTATCGCCCGCTTGGCGCTCTGACGCGTGGGTCTCGCCACGGGGCCATGCGAGTCTGTGTCCGACTCAATGATCCGACCGTTGCGCACTGGCAGATGGTAGCTGTGATCATTCTCGGCCGCCAGGTGGGACGTGGATGTGCTGGCCCTACCACCATTGGCCCGCGTATTTCGGGAGGGACTCTCGAGGCTGGGATCGGCGGCAGTGGATGCAGCAGCAGCAGCAGCCGCAGCCGCTGCAGCAGCGGCCGCACTGGTACTGGGGCCATTGTCTGTGGCCTGAAACCTGGAACTGACCTGGGATCTGCCCTTGCGGCGCGTCACATTGCTGTGACTGTCCTGTGTACTCTCGTCCTGCTGGGAATGGGAGGCGGCCTCTTCGGAGCTGCCCAAACCACGACGCGTGCGTCGTGTGGGCGCCGGGACGGTTCCGCCGCGACTGCTGCCCGCAGGACTCTTATCTATGCGGCGACGTTTCGTGTTGGAGTGTCCGTTTCTGTTGGCAGACTTGCGCTTCTTGCCGCGGCGGCTGCTGCGTCCCACATTGGGATTGTAGCTGTCCTCCGAGTCATTCGGATTGGACTCATCGTCGATGAGACGCTGGCGGGGCCTACCACGACGCGGCCGCGCCTGTTGCGGTGAACTGGCATTGGTGTGGGCATCGTCCTCCTCCTCCTCACTGCTGGCGTCTGAGGTGGCCTGGGCACTGGACTCATCGTCTTCCTCCTCCTCCTCCTCCTCGTCGCTGCTGCTCCGCCTGTTTTGATGGCGTCTCTGTTGGGCCGCAGACGAGGAGGAGGTCACACGGTTCGAGCCCGAGTGGCTGGAACTGGCCGTAACGGCCACCCCGTTGCGGCGTCGTGAACGCTTTGCACGTGCCACCGCCGCCTCCTCATCATCATCATCGTCGTCGTCATCGTCCTCGTCTTCATCCTCGCTCGTGTGCGGCAATGGCAGTCGCCTGGGCGCCGCTGGCGGCTTTTGATTGCGACGCGTCGCTCGCTCCTTGTTCGAACGCTTGCTGGGACTTCTGGAGGCACCGCGTCCGCCTCCACTGCTGCCCGACTTGTTCTTGTTGGCGCGTCTGCGTGCCGCCTTCCAATTGCTGACGACCGTCTTGATGCGCGACTCGAACAGGGCGCTCAAACGCAGTGTCATCGAGTAGATCTGCAAGACAGAACCAAACACGGAGATGGCGGAGACCACATAAGCATTAGGATTGGCTTTGAATACGGGGGGGTGGGTGGTGGGGGTTGTAGTTAAATTGTTAGTAGTTAGCCCGCCGAGGGAGACAAAAACCTTACCGCTAGATTATCCTATAGATAGATGATAGAAGTCACGTAGATCGTCATTCATTTGGTTTGTCATTAGATATCGAAATATGTTTGATGGGTTTTTATATTTATACATATATATGTTTTTAATTCGATATACGATATACGGATATACGATTACGATATTTGATAGATATATATTCGTTTGATGGTTTATGAGGTTTTTGGAGTTTTAGGGGTTGGTTTTCGAGATATATTCGAAATGGAAGGCATGTTCACGGTAGGCAAAAGAAACGTAAAGAATAGATGGATGAGCTTTTGCATGTGTGTGGCTTGTGTGTGTATGTGTGTGTGTGCGTTTCAGAAAGGGGTTTTTACAAAATAGGGCTGCAAGACCACCATTTCGATTAATCGACATTTCTATCGAAAAGGTTTTAAATAATCAAAACAATAAAAAAACTAAAAAAATTAACTTAAAGTAATCAGTAATCAGATTAGTAATGATTAGTAGTAATTCATCCATTATGATACCTTTTCTTGATTTATGGATACATGGAATTCTAGCGATGCTCCAATAATTGCTCATCCTAATTATGGCGTGGGCATTGTTTGTTTGGACAAATTATACCAATTATTCTTTATCCCGGATTAAATTAGAAGATAATCCTATTTTATCCACTGTAACGATATCGTTTATCGATTTTTATCGATAATATCATCGATGGTTTTGGTTTTGCAGCCCTAGTTTTCAGTTAAAGTTTCAGATTTCAGAAAATGAAACAAACAAGAAGGAACAATGCAAACAAAAAACCAAAAACAAAACCAAAAACGAAAAAAAAAAACAAAAGAAAAAGCAACGAATACGAGAGAGAGAGATATGCCCCTGGATCGTTGATCAAACAATTAAGTCATAGAAAGCAATAAATGACGATCTGCAACCGATCTGCCGCCAATCTACAAGGGACAGATTCTGTCCCACGCACTCACCCGAGATCGTTTGTTGGTATTGTAGTTCTTTGAGTTCTGGAATATCAATCGCACATCCTTGGCAAAGTCCAACGGATCATCGTAGTTGCCGCCCAGCAAGTCCTCCTCCACCGTCCGCAGATCCATGGGCGTGGCAATGATTTCCAAATAGTCGGGAAACTCAATGGTGTCCACTGGCTCACGGAATGGCAACGAATCCGGCAGCTGCCTCATTAATTCCAACAGCTGCCGGCAATCAGAGCGCCAATCCCCATCCGAGTGCATGCGAGTGGATCTGAATAGAGTGGGCGCGCCCAGAAATGTAATAAATATTTTTGTTATACTTAGGTTTAAATATTAAACGAACCTTCGGGTGGAGGAAACACGTTGTCGAGCGGCTGCTGCGGCGGCGGATGTGGTCGGCCCGGTGCTGGTTGAGGGCACAACATCAGAGTCAGCCTCATTCTCGGACTCGGACGAATGATAGACATCCACCAGCTGGTGATAAACGGCAGCCACATCAATCTCATCCGCCTCCCGGATGATGCGCAGGCACAGATCCGTCACAATCCGAGCATGCTTGACAATAATCGTGTGCCGACGATTGTACTGCTCCGCATTGGTGGCCAAATATCGCACATCAAACTGTGCGGAGGTGATGCGGCGATAGAAATGATTCTCGAAGCGCGACTTGACCGTGGTCAGATCAATGGGATACTCGATCAGGTAGGCATAGTCGGGATAAATGTTGAGGTCGACGGGTGCCAGGAAATGCTCCGCTATGGACAGACGCATCACCTGCTCGAGGCCATTGATGATGCGGCGACAGGTGCCATCGCGATCGCCACGATGCCACTCCTCGGACTTGGGCTGATAGAGCGTGGCGCGTATCTCCTCGGGCAGCACTGGCACAGCGCCACCGACTTCATCCGGCACTCGCTGCTGATCGATGGGCTCCATATCCCAGGGACTCATGCACTCGTACTCTCCGTTATCCCAGCGCACGCGAAAGCACATGAAAAACGAATCGGGAAAGTCGGCGCACAAGGCGTGACGCGACTCGATCTGTCCCATCCACCAGCCGTCGCCGATCATGCAGCGGAAACGATCGCCAATGCTCCAGTTGCGCTGCACGGCCAAATCAAAGGTCTGTCGCAGCACCAGAAAGTCCAGCACATCGGGCATATCATGATATTTGATTTTAAAGGAGGTACCCGTCATGTTGCCATCCTCATCGATGATGGCCATCTTCAGGCAGCAGAGCCGCGGCGGACGTATCTCGTACTTGATGCCAATCACCCGCACCAGTTCGTGGTCGCGCAGCGTGTGAAAATTCCATGGCTCCGAGCTGTGCGACAGCTTGTAGACCTTCTTCAGGCGCACGGCATCCAGGTAGCTCTGATGGCCCTGCCGAAAGTAGACCACTTCGTCGCCCATCTGCGGATAGTATGGAGTCTTGCGCGGTATCACCTCCGACAGCCATTCGGCGGGTCTATACAGCTCGGGGATTTCACCATTGAGATCCGTGGGCGGAAACAGCACTGTCTTTCTGCCCACCTTGCGGGCCGTCACTTGGCCCTGGCCCTGGCCCTGGCCACTGACACCGGCAGCAGCGCGCACAGCTCTGCCAGCGGCATCTTCATCGCTGCTATCGTCGCTACTGTGGGGACGCCGGGAGAGTGGCTTGCGCTTGGAGCGTTTGGGTGGCTCTAGATTGGGTCCCGGCGTATCGGCGACCCAATCAGAATAGTCGGAGCTGTCCGTGTCCGAATCGTCGCTGCTTTCGTCTAGATTCTCCTCGACATTCGAGTAGCTGGTATCCCCCGACGAGTTGCTGGATACATCATCCTCCTCCTCTTCATGGGCCGGTACTACAACGTCTTCGTAGTGATGCTCTTGTTCCTGATCCCGCACCGCTCGGGTGCGGTATGCAGGCGCCAGCGGTCCTACCACTTGGCCGGGCCCGGGCGGAGCATTACGCCGCCTGCCGGGACGACCGGCGCCATTGGCCCGCGTATTTCGCGGCCTACCCATGCTGCCGCCCGTCTGCTGGGCCGACGCCGCACTGGCCGTGTTGATCATGATGGGTCGGCGTCGCATCTCTCGCTTGTATTCTTGCTTCTCGTACAGTCCGGCTGAGTAGCTCACTTGCTTTATATTCTGCAGCTGGGCGTACTTCATCGGACGGACGTAGGTTCGACGTACGAACTTCAATGGCAGTGCCTGCTGAGGCGAAGCCTGCTGGGCAGCTGCTGCTGCCTCCTCTGGACCTGCTTCTTGGGGCAAAGCAGGCTCTTCTGCCGGAGCTGTCGGCGCTCCCCAGCCCTGACGTGGCGTACCCAAGCGTCCGCCTAAAACATTTCCGCGCGCAGATTGTCGACTGTTTGAGTCCGGCTGATGCTGCTGCTGTTGCTGGCGATTGGTCATCCGTTCAAACGATTGATTGGCATTTCGCGCATTCGAATCGTTGGCATTGGCACTGCCGACCGACTGGCGATTGGCCAAAGCCGCAATCATGCGATCTATGTGTGAATAGCCGGCAGGTTCTCCCCCTGCTCCAGCGGCAGGAGCTGCTGCTGCGGCGGGTGCAACAGCTACACTGGCATTTGGCTGGGGATTGGCATTCGCATTGAGATTATCCTCAATAAGCACACCATCCACGCCGACAGTCAGATTGGGGGTAAGCTGATCAATGGTGCAACTCTCACGGCCGGGCACGAAACGTTGATACTTGGTGGGATGTGGATTGCCATCGGCATCAACGAGAAATGGTGGTGGCATCAAATGCGGCATTATCTGCGTCTGTTCGTCAATCACATGATGCTGGGCATCGCGCAACAGTGGCCGGAAATCCGTGTGAAAGAAAAGCTCAGTGGGCAGCTGCCAAAACGGGAGGGGAGCAAGCATCAGATTAAATATACAAACAGATACGCAGATCTGTAAAACACTCACCATTGAGTACTTATCCTTGCACATTCCCAAGCCAAAGATCATGATATGACCATGCGAATCGGTGGCAGCTATCATTGTGCCATCCGGTGACCATTTGGCATCGAACACACTGCCATGGCCCTGCCCGTCGATATCATTGAAGAATTCGGTGACCATGATGCCCTGTTCAATGTCCCAAAGGAATACCTGACCATCATGGCCAGCGGAGAGCAGCACATGCTCGTCCCTTGGATTCGATTCGAGCACATACAGCTCATCCTTGTGGCCGCGCAGGACACGATGCAGCTTGGCTGATTTCGAGTCCCAGATTTTGATCTGTACGGGCCAAGGACATTCGATTAAAGATCGATGTGTGGGTGTGGGTAAGGGCAAATGCAACTCACGGTGAAATCATTAACGGCTGTAATGACATAACGATCCGAGGCATCCCATGCCACCATGGTAACCTTTAGCTTCTTGCCCTCCTCTGGCTCTGGACAGCTGCAAAGCGGAAGAAAGAGTTACATTGGGGGGGAAGGAGAAGAATCGTTTGACTATAATCGCACCTGGCCAGCCGTTCGGTCATGCACAGCTTGACGCTCTTCCACTGCTGCGACTCAAAGGTCCAAATGTGTGCAGTGCCATCCTTGCTGCCGGAAATGAATCTCAGTCCACGATGCGACCACTGCACCGAGTCCACGGCATCGGTATAGGCTTCAGTTTCCAGTATTCTTTTGGGCCCATCTTCGCCCATCATGTAGACGCGTACATGATGATCCGCCGAGCCGGCAGCCAGAAACATGCCGCCCGGCGAGAACGTTGTGCACATCATCTGCGCCTGTCCCGGTCGCAGTTTCTCGTGGTACTGTGTGGGCTTGGGCGCAAATGTGATCTTCTGGCCGCGTGGCGTCGAATACTGCCAGAAGGCAATGGAACCGTCTGTGCTGGTCGTCACCAAGTACTTCAAATCGCTGCGCGGCGATGGGCAAAAGTTCACCGACGTTATCATGCCCGTGTGGGCGGCAAGCACTGCAATGGGCGAGGTGGTCTGCATATCCCATACGCGCAGAATACGATCCACCGATCCGGCGGCCAGCATTGTGTTGTCCAGATTGATGGCAATGTCCGTGATCTCGGCCGAGGCACCGCGCAGCGTGGCCAGTAAGCGGCCATCCGCCGCAGACCAGATTTTAATGAGCAGATCATCGGCTCCGGTGATAATATAACGTCCCGTGCGATCGAAGAGCACACAGTATACGGAGGATAGATGGCCCACGGTGCGGCGCAGCAGAAGTGTCTTTTTATACAGCTCTGTGGGCACCAGCAGCTTTCGCCGCACTTCTCCGCCATACTCCCGGCCAGTCAGTACCCGGGCTGGAGGACAAAAAAGTACATTAATATTTATTTAAAATCAAAATCAAAGATCATTTTGGTCATCACTCACTTATATTGTGGGTGCGCTTGGTATAATCTGCATCTGGCAGTGATACGTCATGGAGGCGAGTGCAGTAATCCCTGAGGGTGCGATGCCCGTATATGCTGTCCGGGGTGCGCAAAAGATTTTGCCGACCAGTGCCAAGGAGCGAAAATATGCCCGGCACACTGCCCGGATATTGACGTTCCACGAGCGGACATAGACGGCCGCATAACTCCAGCAAATGATTGTCTCCAATATGCGTGAACTTTTGTTCCTGTCATGGAGAAAAATTCAAAAAAATTAACGTTTTTTTTTTATGTTTGTTTATCGAAGACCAGGGTCACGCGATGAATCGAACGCAGCTGTTTCGCGCACAACACTGGCTAGTGACTGGTGCATATAACCGTCTCGCTCTGGCGAACACAAGTCAGGGGGTTGATTGAGGAGCGTGCTTGTGTATGGGGGGAAAAGCAAGATGTCGGCTGCTGACAGACTAATTGTTGTACAAAAAATTACTATGCAATTTTAAGATTTAGTAATTTTTCAAAATTTAATCAATTTAACACAATTGGGACACTTTTGCTGGCTAGTTTTGCATTTTAGAATATTTTCATTTTTTTTTGTTAACAATCTTTAATAATTTAGCATTTAGTTATTAATTAGTTTACCAAAATGTTTGATTAATGCACTTTTAATTTTAATTTGCAAGAAACTAATTTACACACACGCGTGCACTTCTATCAATCAATCGATTCGCGCGTGACGTCACGTCACAGAAGCGAACGCACAGAGAGGGACAAGCGAAAGAAGTTTCCACCACTTATGCAAGACACACACACACGCACGCACAGCACTCGGGGAAAATGCAAGGAAATTAAACTAGAAACCAATCAAATCTCTCACTCACCAATTCGGCAAAGGTCTGCTGATGCTCATTTCCCAGCCAGTCAACGCGTCGCGGCAGAACCTGTGGAGAAAGGTAGAGGGGGGCAGAAGGGCATATTAGCTGTTATCACTTGCACCGCTGTCGAACCAAGAAAACAATGACGTCGCCACCGGGTGAAGGGACGGGGACCGTACGTCATTGGCATTTCTTCTTTTTAAGCAAGCGGACAGACCAGACGACCGCCAGACAGACTATCGGGCGGGCTATCCCGGGGCCCAAATGCCAGCGGACTACGTTTTCTGTGCTCAGTATAGCTTGAACTCTGATATAAAACCGACGTAGGTTTCTGTGTCGCTGCTGCTTCTGCTGCCGGCAGCAGAAACAACAACAAAACCCAAACAAAAATATATAAACAAACGCAGGGCAGAGTTTTTGCATAAACCGTGATACCGAATACCCCCGCCCCAAATCAGTCCAGGAGCCGTCAAATCCTTGGGCTGTGGCCCCACACGCTTACATTCTTCTGCTGCAGCTCCTGGATTAACACCTGTAAGGTTGCAAACGATGGATGCAGTTAGTAAAATGGATGTAAACGAAACCAAAAGATTCAAACGTTGAAAATTGCGCTCTTTTTGTGGAGGCAGCCTCAACGCCTTCCGTTCACACCGACCTTTGCCGTCTCGTGCAGTGGCCCCGCCGTCAGGAACTTCGATATGAGGAAGTATAACTCTGCAAGAAGAACAATTCCACACAATAAGTGCAACAGTTGTGTGGGCAAATACCATTATTATACGAAAATTGCAATTTTTTGTCGGGATGTTCTTGCAATTCGACTCGCGGCCATTCAGCCCAGCCATCGCGAATGCACAGCCAGCCAGCCCATCGCAGGGCACACACACCTCTCTCCCGAGGCTGCGGGTGGCTCCGGGCAGCCATATTTATGCACACACTTATTGTTTTCGTACAAAACGTACCTGGCACTATCGCATCATTAGAACTGGGCTGGCTATTTGCCATTATTCATTGCGAACTAAGCCTCGGATTATTACAAAATTGTAGTTGCTTTCTTCTAAAATTCTTTTTTCAGCAGTGTGACAGCGGATTTATGGATAGAATATACCGCCTGCCTCTCGGAAATATACCAAAATTTACATTTTCATTTTCAAAATATACCATAAATATACCGAGGAAAAGTACTAGCTTAACCCTCTCAACATCCCTCTATTTAAACTGGTGCAACCTTGAGTTAAATCGCTGAAAATAATAGACACAACTTGACCCCAGGTAATAAAGTTAATTCTTTCTCTTTTACGATCCTTGAATCCTAATTTCGATTAAAATTGGAAGGAATGGGCTGGAACTGAAACGATGGGGTACGTTAGTGCCCCAAATGTGTAGTTACCGTGTAGTTAGCATGTAAGAAAACGGACATATTAATTGGCCTTCTTTCTTTAAGCCCTATTCTATAAGTAATGCAATAATAGGAAGTCTCTCATATTAGCCAAATTTGTAGAAAATTGGTTCATCAATCCGATAAAATTATATGCTAAGTGGTGAGAGTCCCAACTGCTTGTAATATTAAATCGAATATCAAAAGTGAGCAATATGATTTGCCTCGAAATATTTACGGTATATTGTGAAAATGAAAAAGATATATTTGGGTATATTTTTGATCGTCAGACGAGTATATCTTATTGATAAATCCGCGGTCACACTGGTGATATTTTAATTTTAATTTTATTTTAATAAAAACCATTATTTGTCCACGAAACAATTAATGTTCGCAGTAATTCTCGTACGAAACAGATAGTGCGAAAAACCCCAGAATGGAGTGCAACCTGGGCAGTGAAATAGGCCTGAAGATGCGCGTAAGTTGCTTTTTGCGGAAAATCAATGAACTTCGTAATCCAAGCAAAAATTTTAGAGTGCCGTCAAGGCAAAGCTGCTGGAACTGGGCACGGGCGGCTCATCCGGCTTCATAGACGACGAACTGCCGGACTACGTGATGGTGATGGTGGCCAACAAACGCACCAAACAGCAAATGGCCGCAGAGTTAAATCTCTTTCTGGGCGACCAGACGGATCTCTTTGTCACCTGGCTGCACGAAGTTCTCCAGAAGCTGCAGGAAGTCACATTGCCCACAGCCAGTGGTAAGTTTTGTGGTTTTCGTTCGTTCCCCCCTCGAGTGTCATTATCTAATCGAATCTGAACGATCCTCTAGCTTCCAGCAAAAAGCGCAAATCTCGTCAGCTCGAAGCACGTCCCAAATCGAAGGAGAAGGACAAAAGGCACTCGTCGAAGAAGGACAAAAGGGTGCAGAGGAAGTCGGGCGATGAGATGGCAGATGGACAGTCAAGTTCGGCCGATGCCATGCCCGTCATTAGCTCCATAACCGATGCCTTTGCCGAGGAGCTGCTGGAGAAAGCCAAAAAATCACTTGACATCGACATCAATGCCAAGGATGAGATTGTACACAAAAAGAAACGCAAGTCAATGGAGAGTGAGGAGGAAACGGGAGACGGAGAGGTGGCCCCCACTACAGACATAAGCTCAACCGCCAACAGCGGCGTCAATCGGCAGAAGGATCTGGCCGAGCTGGCTGAGATTCAAAAGAAAATCCATGCGGCCAAAAAGCATTTGCGCAAGATAGGCGAAATAGAGGACGAGAGTGATGTGGAGGCGGAGGATGACGACGACGACGATCTCTTGAACATCAACGAGCAGGAGGATGAGCCGGAGATCCAGCAGTCGTCCGTTGAAGAAGTACAGGAAAAGGTCCCTCCCGCACGCAAAACCAAAAGTCCAATTATTTTCAAGAGGCGAGAGCAAACCCCTCCTGAGCAGCGTGTCGAGCCAGATATTGATTCACGCCAGGCGGTGAAGCTGGATTTGGAGATTGAGAAGGAAAAGGAGAAGCCCAAGGAAGATCGCTCGGAACGACGTTCGGTCCATGACCGTCTGGGTTCCAAACAGGCCGCACAGCCGCCATCAGAGCGCCCGCAACGCGGCCAAAAGGAGCTCTATGTCCCGGCACATCGCAGACGTCTGGAGGCATCGGAAGCACAGGCACCCAAGGATCGCAGCCAGCGAGAACGCTCAAGAGAACGTCGCTCCAGCCGCGACAATCTCAGGGAATCGAACCGGGCCCATCGCCAGCGACGTTCGCCCAGCCCCGAGGCACCCAAGGCCAAGCAACGCATTGGTTCGCGTGTCATTGTGGCAGTCCACAAGCCGCCAGAGCCCTCGGACGATGAAGATATGGCCGACAAGCCTGTCAACTCGGTCATCAAGATCAAGCCCCGGCCCCAGGTGTCGCCCCGAAGACAGGCGTGCAAGAATCTACTCATGAGAGCTGTGGCCGATGCCCAGAGATCAACGATTCTGGCCAAGACGTCAGCGCCTTCGCTAAAGAAAGATATTGAGGAGGTGGAGCTGGTCAGCAGCACCTCGCTGGGCAAACGCAAGGCGCCGGAAAAGTTGGAACGCGATCGATCGCGTGATCGGGCCAAGCGTGATCGCAGTGCCCCAACCACGGAGCTGTTCAGGCGCAGCACTCGCGAGTTGGTGGTCAATGTGCTGCAGCGGGATGCGGCAGGCAAGCAACAACACACCGCCCGACGCTCCAACGATAGTCAAGCCGAGATGAAGCTGAAGCTGGTGGAGGAAGAGTATGGGCCCAGTCTCGTGGCCGAAGACTACGAGCCGTACGTGCCGCAGCTGTTGAATCACGTGGAGGATATAGACTTGCACATTGGTTCGCCAGAGGCGAGGCCCAGCTCTAGGGGACCCAAAACTCAGTTTGTGGTGACCCTGAATGGGGAGAAAACCTCAACGTCGGCCAGCAGGGACAGGGACAGGGACGCCACCTATCGCAAGCGGAGCATCTCGGTGAAACGCTCATCCTCACCCGTAGCCACAACACCACAACAAGTGACCTCTTCCAGTGCGGAACCAACTGCTGCCACAGCTGCTGCCTCCTCCTCCTCCTCGTCATCGTCCTCAATGGTCGACAGACGCCGCAAATCCAATCGCGCATTGAGCATCACCCCATCGCCCAATTCAAGTCCATCAAATCATCAAATCACACGAAGTCTGAAGCGTAATGAGGTGCTCAGGCAGCAGCAGGAAATCAAAAAGATCATCATCAAAAATGACACCGACGAGGACGACGAAACGCACAGTGCACCGCCAAAGAAGAGCCAGTTGCCGCACAAGCGACAAGCGGTGGGTGCCAGCAGTTCTGTGGCCTCGGCCAATGGTCATAAGGAAAAAAGAGCAAAGGCTGCCGCCACAGAGGAGCGCTCGAATACGCCACCACTGCCGGCCACTGGCCGTCAAGCCTTGCCCAGACTGGAGAAGGAGAAGCGAGCCGTCAGCAAAGAGAAATCTGGAAATGCAAATTCAAATTCTAGTGTAGAGCCATTGACGGCATCGGCTACGGCACCAGTGTCCGTAATAGTCTCTGCATCGGCCAAAAATAAACACACGCCCATTCGCTTTACTTTAAAGTCGGAGGAGAAGTCACAGGCACAGGCACCGGCACAGGTACAGGCACAGCCTGCCACAAGAAAGCGTCGTTCGGGCAGTCATGAGCGTGATGCATCGATGGAAAGGCGAAAAGTACCCTTACGGAATTTAGAGGATAGAAAATATGACAATTTGCCGGCATGTAAGTGTAGCCACGATCTATAATCGATAATCGCCACAAACAACCTTAAATGTACTTTGTTTTTGTTGCAGTAAGCGCCGTCAGCGTGGACTCGGCCGTGTTGAAGGTGAGCAAGCCCAAGGAGCGTTGCAAATACCATCCGAGCTGCACAAAACAATTCTGCGAGTACTATCACCCGACGGCGCCATGCAAGTCCTTTCCCAATTGCAAGTTTGCCGACAAATGCATGTACTCGCATCCCAAGTGCATGTACGATATGTCGTGCATGAGCATTGACTGCAATTATGCGCACAGCGGACAGCGGGATCTCAGCCATGTGCAGCTAACGGCACCGCCTTTATGTGAGTGGGGCAGCATTTCAATTATCCGCCGTCATTTAATTTAATTCTCCTTTCTCTACTTTCTCCTTTTGGACAGCCTCCCATGTCATACCTGTGCAGAACTATAAATCAATATCGGCACCCATGACGGCCACCACAGCAACAACAATGTGCAAATATTATCCGAATTGCACCAAGGTGGGGTGCACCTTCTATCATCCAAAGCCATGCCGTTTTGGCAAGAATTGCGTCAATAAGCTGGAGTGTGTCTTCTATCATCCGGAGATGCAGAGCAAATTCAAATGGGTTGCCTCGATGGGCTGAGCATACACCTAACACCACCACTCACCACTCAACACCCATCCCACATGGCAACCCTCATAAGTTTTAACAATATTTAGCTAATGTCATTTTATCCATCCACTCTACCTACTCCCTGCTCCCGGCTGCCACTGCTACCTGCTATATGCCAGATCCCCGCTATATTCAACACTATACCAAAATCCCTTTTTTCTATTGGATCTAATTGGGAGCCTGGAGCTGTGGAGTTCTTTTTTAATTATACACAGAGAGCTGTGTAGCCAAAACAATTTCATTTCATTTATGCATTTGATTTGCACACACACACACACAAATTTATATATATTAGACATTAGCTGCTATCTTCCTCCTCCACTCTCACGTAAAACAAAACGATAAATTGGATCTTTTTTATTGCATATGAACATAATCTACACACGCGTCATGCAAAGGTCTGCGAATAAAATTAGCAATAGTTGCTACAAGTTGGAAAATTAAATTGCTTTTATTTGTCTGCTGAACTGAACTCTCTCTCAAAATATGTAGGGAACAATATAACTTAAATTTGGTAACAGTTCGCGAACAGCAATGAAAAAACCTTATCAGCGAAATTCAAGTGGAATATCAATGTACTGCGTCATCCCCACCACAATGTATGCTGCATTCTGGGGCATTCTCTTTGCAGCATTCGCTTGTGCGTCTCGTGTCGAACCTTCTCCTGTGGCTGAAATGGCAGCAAGAACGTGGCTTTAGATCGATTCAAAGATCGATATATTGTTGCAGTAATCTGATTGGATGCATCAGCAAAATTCAAAGTTATTGCCTGACTTATTACGTATTCCTTTTAGATCAAAAAATGGATCAATCGTGTTTGGAAAAAAGTCGAAATATTTAATATTTATCATATATGTATGTATGTATGTATGTATAGTACAGTCTCTTAAGGTTACGCTTAGAAATTCTAGAGCAAAATGTATGTCTTTCAATTGATTTGAATGCTTAACCAATACATAGTTATAGTTTATCTCATAATCTGATAGTTGCAATTGCTTTTCGTTACTAAGTTTTAGGTTTAGTATAAGGCCACATTTCCTGTTGTATATACTTGGGTATATATTAGGTATATAGGATTTTTTAAACGTTTTTGTTTCTTTTAGCTCAGCTAATTTAGATGTAGATGTAAAAGTCGGCAATACGAATACAAATTTACTATTTACAAACAAAAATACTCACACAATACAATTTGAAGGTAGGATATTGGATACGTGGGGAATATGTGTGTGGGTGTGGGTGTGTGTATGGGTGTTGGTGTCCAGTTTTTCACAGAGCTATAACTTTGTTCGCAGCTTTAGGATTACACACGGTACGTACTCGTGGATGAGTCAACGAGGAACCGAATACTGAAACTAATCTTAACGGATGTATCGTAACTACACATAACGACTATAGAGTGCTGGGGTTTGCCATCTAAACCTACTCAAAAATAAATAGACAACGGCATCATCATTTATAATTATTAACTAACTAAAGCATAGACATAGGCATCGAGGTGGTGGATATGTGTGGGGGGCGCTACTGCTGCTCCTCTTGCTGCTGGCTTTGAGCACCTTAATACAAAACTTACGTACAAAAACATTGCATTACTCCTTACACATCTCTAGGGTATTATTATATACGTATGGGCGGACTTTAGAATATCTTTTTCTTGTTCTCGTTTTGTTTGCTTTTGCTAATCGCATTTCCATCGATGCTTAAACTCTAAATAAGTCGTTCCTCTGGCGGCGGCTTCAGCACATTGTCCATTTCCAGCCTCGGATTGCAGTACTCCTGGGCGCTGGGGCTGTAGGTGCCGCGTGTGGCACGCTTATTGCGCGCCATCACCAGAAAGGTGCCCAACAATGCGCCGGCAATGAGGAGCAACACCACCACAACGGGTATAACAATGATGGCAATGTCTGTCGTCGATGGGCCATCCTCCTTGGCAACAATCTAAGTAACGGAGTAGGCAGAAATAGTATCAGTATGCTCTTAAAGAGATCTCCTTCTATACTTACCAATGCCGTGCAATTCTTGCCCGCAAATCCTTCCGTGCAAACGCAATAGTAGTCCGGTTTTGCGCCACAGTCCTCCATGCAGCGGCCACCATTGCCGCAGATATCAGTGGCATTACAGGGATCCGTAAAGTTGCAATAGGCACCGCAATAGGGCTTCTCGCAGATGCACTGGAAGGAGCCGGGCTTGTTGAAGCAGCGACCCAGCCCGCCGCAATACTCGCCCTCCACACTGCACTCATCGATGTCCGTTTCACAGTGTATGCCCTGGAAGCCGGTGCCCAGGCAGTCGCACTCGTAGCCGCCCACCAGATCCTTGCACTGGCCCCCGTTCTGGCAGGGGTTCGAGTCGCACTCGTTGATGTCCTGCTCGCACAGACGACCCGTGTAGCCCAGGCTGCATTTGCACATGGGCGACTGCAAAGCAAGAAGCGTTTAGTCTAGGGTATTGGTGGGGATTGTATATGAGTTTCACTTACCACTCCAGTGGTCAGGCAGAGTCCGCCATTATCGCAGGGCGTTCGCTCGCAGAAGGGCACATCGCACAGGGAACCCTCAAAGCCCGAGGCACAGGTGCACGTAAAATTATTGCCAGTCAATCCATCTGCGGGGGAGAAGAGGAAATGTTGGTCAAGTTTCTGTTCAAGGCAGGTGCATAGTCCCGTGTACTCACTGAAACCATCCTCGCAGCTGGACCCATTCCGGCATGGCTCGTTCTCGCACGTCATCTGCTTGAGTACATCGCACTGGGGACCGGTGTAGTCCTCCGGACAATCGCAGAAATAGGCCGCAATCAGATCGGTGCAGTTGCCACCGTTGCGGCACGGCTGCAGGGCGCATTCGTCAATGTTCTGCTCGCAGTAGCGGCCCTCGAAGCCATCCGGGCACTGGCAGAAAAAGTCTGCCACCTGGTTGATGCAGGTGCCATTGTTCTTGCACTCCGTGTTGAGGCACTCATCGATGTCGATGCCGCAATCGTCGCCCTCGTAGCCCGCCTGGCAGGTGCACGCATACTCGTCGGACGGCGCCCGACAGAAGCCATCGTTGCGGCAGTCCGTCTGGAAGCACAGAATGCAGCCCTCCTCGGGTCGCGTTGTATTCAAACGGAACTGGGCCTTCAGCTGCACCGAGACGTTCTCGGTGCGTGGATACAGTTCGGCATTGGAGAAGTACGGCAGCAGCAGATCGCCCACGCGCGCCTCGCCCACACAACCCTTGAACTGGGAGCCCTGCTGGGCGGACAGGGTGGAGCCACGCGACTGACGCGACTCGGGCATGCCGCCCAAGTACACCTGAGTGCTGCTGGACAGCAAGTACTGAATGGCCGCCTGATCAATGTCAACGGAGAAGGACGGTGCCGGATCCACCATGGACTCCCAGCCCTTCCAGCCACCCTCCAGCTTGCCATTGTGGGCCCTCAGGTAGATGCGGCTCCACTCACCGTCGGCGTTCTCCTTCTCAAAGCGCGCGGACTCGCCAATGTGCAGTTGGGTGAGCTTCCAGGTGATGGTCACGCGTCCCCCGTTGACGCCAATCTCAAAGAAACTGTCCGCATTGTCGATGAACAGCAGAGTGCCGCCGGCGCGTGTCCGATAGGCAATCTCGATGCTGGGCTTGAGCGTCTGCTTGGGACCAGTCTCGCCGCCGGTTTCCTCGGCGGGTGGCGGCTCCTGGAAGTAGAAAAAGGCCAGCGGGCTGCGCTCTCGGCCCGTAAAGGTGGTATTGGTCAGGCACTCGTAGCCATCGTCCAGGTTCTGGCACACACTCTCCCCGGGACAGGTGACCAGCTGGCAGAATTCAATCTCCTGACAGTCCTTGCCCTTGTAGCCATTGGGACACTTGCAGCTGTAGTCGTTCCACGTGTTTCGGCACTCCGCATTGTGGCGGCAGGGATTCTTGCGGCACAGATCATCGGACACTTCGCCCGGCAGCACCGATCCACGGTCAATGCTGACTGGGCCCAGGGGCTTGGCATTCACCTGCACATCCGTGACATTGAGTGGATACATCTCGACAATGAGATTGAGCGAGCCATTGCTCACTTTCACGTCCTGTATGATGCCCTTGAAGTAGTCCTTGCTGTCGTCTGTCGCCTCCTTGCTGAGCACTGTGGCACTCTCGTCCACGCCGGGCTCTGTGCTGGCTGGCAGCAGGGATTCACGCGTCGGCGCTGGACCGCCCAAGTACAGCACCTGTGCATCCAGCAGACCCGTCGTCGACAGCGTCTTGCGGAAGTACTCGGTGCCATTGAGCTTGACCTGCACCAGGGTTTGATTGCGCACCACCTCGATCAGATGATTGTAGCCATTGTCCAGCTTCTGGCCACCCACGGTGTAGGCCTCGGGTGTGCCAGAGAATTGCATCTTCACCAGCAGCTCGCCACCATGCAGCTTGGCCGACACATACGAGTCACCAATGTCTGGCAGGGAAGGTTCAGAGAATGTTAGATTGGGGAGATTAAAGAGATTTTAAAGAGAGAGATTTTCGACTCACTTTTGGTGGGCGTTTTGCGTGGATCACTGCCCAAATAGAACACCTGCCCCGTAGGCTCTCGCGTGCGTATAAACATGGATATGTCCAGTATGGAGCGTATGGCCCGCCTGCCCACATCCGTCGTCTCCACAATCACAGCCGAATGCGTGGTATTCTCATGCCCAAACGTTGCTGCTGTCATATCTATAGGGAACACAATCGTAAATGAAGCCTCAGGGTATCTTTAATCCATCTACTCACTGTGCTGGCAGGTGTGCCCGAAGAAGGGCCTCGGACAGTGGCAGGCGAATGTGTGCCACAGATCCGTGCACTCGCCATTCGAATGGCAGGGATTCGGTTTGCATTGCTCGGTGCGCGGACAACCGCTTTGGACATTCTCCAGCTTGGTATCTCCGTACGTAAAATTGGCGCTCTGCTCGTCGGGAAAGATCCATTTGCCATTGACGACAATGTCCTGCATGCAGCCCACAAAGGCCGAGGGCTGGTGCGTCAAATGTCGCAGATATGACTTCAGATTGGGTATCGTACCGCCCAAATAGGTGCGCGGAAACGAGGGCTGACTGTTGTTGGCCGTCTCGTAGGAGCCCACCGGAAATATGGCCTGCTCATCGTTGGCGGACAGCACCAAATGCGATGTATTGATGGCCACAAACACCTTGTGCCAATTGCTGTCGTTCAGCTTGGAGCCAATGAAGACACCCTCCCATTTGTTCAGCAGCGACGAGTGCAGATTCAAGCGTCCATTAATTAGCTCTAGTATATAGCTCACAGGCTCATTCTTCTCGCCAGAGGTGCCAAAGGCCAGCACACCGTTGGGCAGCGTTGTCCTAAATTGCAGATTAATGTCGTAGCCCTCCTCGCGGCCGGTGGTCACAGAGATCAGGCTGGTGGCCACCATCGACAGGGTGGTGGTTTTCTCGCACGTGTCGCCCTGGAAGCCATTCTCGCAGGTGCAATTGTA